TCCTCCTCTTTTCCCCCTACCACCGCACCACTGCAGACTCTGCACATGGACGTCTGGGGCCCAGCCCCGGTCCATGGGCCGCGTCGCGAGCGCTTCTTCCTAGTGCTTGTCGACGACTTCACGCGCTACACCACCGTCTTCCCCCTGGAGCGGAAGGCCGACGTGCCTGACGTTCTCATCCCCTGGCTTGTCTCTGCTCGTGTCCACCGCGGTCTCCCTGCCTTGCGCCTTCACTCCGACCGGGGTGGCGAGTTTGCCTCAGGTGTCCTTGGTCGCTTCTGTCGTGCGGAGGGCATCACCCAGACGTTTACCCTGCCGGACTCCCCGCAGCAGAATGGGGTCGCTGAGCGACGCATCGGTTTGGTCATGGAGGTGGCTCGCACCTCCATGATCCACGCCGGTGCACCCCATTTTCTGTGGCCGTTCGCCGTGCGCTACGCCGCTCACCAGCTTAACCTGTGGCCGCACCCCCAGCGGCCGCAGGTTTCGCCGACCCTTCTGTGGACCGGGTCCCCTGGTGACGCGTCTGCGTTCCGCGTCTGGGGCTGCCTTGCTCACGTTCGTGCCTCTGGCACGGACAAGCTCACTGCCCGCACCCTCCCCTGCGTCTTCCTCGGTTTCCCCCTTGACGCGTCCGACTGGCACTTCTACCACCCGCCGTCTCACCGCTTCTTTCACTCTCGCGACGTCACCTTTGACGAGTCCGTCTCCTTCTACCGCCGCTTTCCCCACCGTGGTCCCCCGGTTACTCCCCCCCTTTTCCTGGTTCCTCCCTCCATGGTGGTCCCTGCCCCTCCCCCCCCCCGCCCCCCCGTCCGGCCCCCTCTGGTGTGTCTCACGTCACCCCCCTCCCGTCGGTCGTCCCGGTCGACGAGTCTTCTGACTCTGGTAGTCCTCCGGCGCAGTCCTCGCCGTCTGTCCCTCCCCCGGTGTCTCCTCCTCCACCGCCTCCGCAGCCGCCGTCGCCGCAGCTGCTGCAGCCGTCGTCTCCACCGCCGCCGCCGTTGCAGCCGTCGTCTCCGCCGCCGCCGCCGTCGCAGCCGTCGCTGCAGCCGCCGCCGCCGCCGCCGCTGTCGTCGCTGCCGCCGTTTGTGGACTCTGGGGGTGTCCCTTCTGGGGGTGCAGGTGTGGAGGGTTCGGGAGGTAGCCGTCGCGCAGCTTGTGGCCCTGGTGTTGGTGTTGTGTCGCCGCAGCAGCAGTCCCCGCCTGTGTCCGCCCTCCGTCTGCTCGGCCTTCCGTCTCCTGACCCTGCGCCTGTTCCTCTCCTGCCGTCTCCCCCTCTTCCCGTCGACGGCCCCGTGTTCCCTCTGCCGGACTCGTCCCCGGCTCGTCTTCCCCCTCGTTCCCCTCCTGTGTCCCCTCCTCTGTCTCCTGACCCGACGCCGCCCTCACACGTCTGGTCTCGCCGCCCCTCTCGTGCTCGTCCTGTCTCCCCTGTCCCGCGCTCTCACCCTATGTTGCTCCGTTCCCACGCGTCTCGACCTCCCCTCCTCCCGTCTCCTCCTCCGTCTTCTCTTGTCGTTGCGTCTCCTCCTCTGTCCGACTCCTTTCGTGCCGCTCGTCCTCTTGTTCCTCGGGTCCTTGCCTCTCTCGTTACCGACCCGTCTGTTCCCGTGTCGAGTCTTGACGCCCTCGTCGCTGCGGTCGCTGACTTCGCCTCTACCCGCCGCCTTGACTACGCTACCGCTCTGGTCTCCGACCCTGCCTGTCCTCCGTCTGTCGGGGGTGCTCCTGCCCTCGGCAGTGACGTCCTGGAGGACCGCCAGTTTGAGCTTGCTTTCCTGTCCGAGGCTGCTCCCCATCTCTGTTCCATGCTGCTAGTCCCTGAGGGTGACCCAGACGCTTTCGACATCCCGACCCCTCGTACTTACGCTGAGGCGGTTTCGGGACCCTGGGCCTCGCAGTGGATAGCTGCCATGGAGCAGGAGATGGCATCTTGGAGATCCACCGGCGCCTTCGTCGACGCAGTTCCCCCACCTGGGGTGAACGTGGTCGATGGCCGCTGGCTCTTCAAGGTGAAGCGCCCTCCTGGAGAGCCGCCTGTGTTCAAGGCGCGCTACGTGGCTAGAGGCTTCAGTCAGCGCGAGGGGGTGGACTTCTTTCAGACTTTCGCTCCTACCCCGAAGATGACTACTCTTCGGGTGCTGCTACACGTAGCGGCTCAGCGTGACTACGAGCTTCACTCCCTCGACTTCTCCACTGCCTTTCTTCAGGGCAGCCTTCACGAGCAGGTCTACCTGCGTCGCCCTCAGGGCTTTACTGGCACCTTCCCCCCTGGGACCCAGTGGCTTCTGCGGCGGCCAGTCTACGGCCTGCGCCAGGCGCCTCGTGAGTGGCACGACACTTTGCGTGCTACCCTTGCTGACCTGCAGTTCTTTCCGTCCTCTGCAGACCCCTCGCTCTTCGTTCGTGCTGGCTCGACTCCGTTCTACATCCTCGTCTACGTAGACGACCTGGTCTTTGCCACTGCTGACAGGGACGCACTGGCCTCCGTGAAGGCAGAGCTGCTGAAGAGACACACCTGCACTGACCTTGGAGAGCTGCGCCGTTACCTTGGCTTGCAGATCTCCAGGGACAGAGCCGCGCGCACCATCACCCTGACTCAGTCACACTTGGTGCGCCAGGTCCTTCAGAGGTTCGGCCTTCAGTTCTCCTCCGCACAGCCCACCCCTCTTCCTCTGGACCACAGACTCTCCGCTCCAGTTCCTGAGGAGTCGGTAGATCCCAGTGGTCCTTACGCTGAGCTAGTGGGTTGCCTCATGTACCTGATGACTTGCACTCGCCCAGATCTCGCATACCCTCTCAGCATCCTGGCTCGTTTCGTGGCCACAGGCAGGCACCGACCTCAGCACTGGTCTGCCGCTAAGAGGGTTTTGCGTTATCTTGCAAGTACATCGGGCATGGGGTTAGTGCTAGGCGGACGCAGGCCAGTGGTCCTTACTGGACACACAGACGCTTCTTGGGCAGACGACGCCGAGACGCTCAGGTCTTCCCAGGGCTACTGCTTTAGCCTTGGTTCAGGTGCTGTCTCGTGGAGAGCTACCCGCTCTTCGTCTGTTGCCCAGTCCAGCTGTGAGGCCGAGATCTACGCCGGTGCCATGGCGGCACAGGAGCTCCGCTGGCTGACCTTCTTGCTCACTGACTTAGGTGAGCGGCCTAGCTCTGCCCCGGTCCTGTACGCTGACAACAGGGCCATGATTCTCCTGTGTCAGGAGCCTCGACTCGAGGGCAGAGCGAAGCACATCCAGCTGCGGTACTTCCTCCTGCGTGAGCTACAGCAGCGTCGCCAGGCTCGCGTAGTACACTTAGCCTCCGGTGCCAACACAGCTGATATCTTTACGAAGGCGCTTGCGCCTAAAGATCATCAGCGGCACTGTGTGCAGCTTGGTCTGGTTCCTGTAGTCTCTCACTTACTCGGGCCTTGACTCTGTACTGTCCTATATATCTGTGTGTACACTCAGACTGGACTTGTGTCCTCTTACAGTGGTTGGACTAGTAGTGCCGCCCTGTACTAGTTCTTGCCTTGCCTGTACTCCTTCTGACTGGTCTTTTAGACCCTTGTCTCAGAGGCTGGACTAGTAGTGCCACCCTGAGCTGCTTGTCTAGAACATTCCCCTATGCAGTCCAGGGGGTGTGTCAAACATGTTTAGTTATCATGCTTGTATAGACTGTATAGGGTCATCTTCTACAGAGTACAACAGTTAGATATATGTTTGTGTACTCTCTCTCTCTATCCATCAATTTCACTGGTTGATACAGTGCACACATTGGACTTGGCGGGATTTTAGGCAGAGTGTGGATTCTGCATGTGACATGGGCGGGAAGCACTGATAGCGGGCGAAATTTCGAAGCGTACCCCAAGGAAGTCTGTTTCAGGGTCCGTATACGCTTTACTCTAAAAACTTAGTACTAGCTTAATGTCAAATATGATTTTTTTTTCAGGATCCTCAGTATTGCACTCAAAATCGATCCGGATTGGGAAAATGGGTTATTTGGAATTACAGGTTTGCTAAAAAAAAACCGGTATGAGATTTCAGACTAATAAGAATAAATAGTCTGATAAAATCAGCCCAGCCGATGAAGCGCCTCCTAGTGGTAGCTGCCGAATCTATTGTAGCACAAATAAATTGTCACATAATATTGATACAACTTAAAGGAGGCATTGTTGCAATTGACTTCAAATTTGAAGTCAATAGCTTGCGGCTCATCTCATGCTCCTAAAGCATTTAGTTGTGGACATTTATATAGATCTGGAGTTATCTCACTTGTTATTTTATTGATTTGATTATTCCGAGCAGTTGCTGCTACTGACGAGAGGACCCGATATGTTCTTGAGTAACTCAGCACGAAGCGCTGCGATTGTTGGATCACCTGACACTGCACGATGCTAGGGAGGGGCGACACTCTCGCCAAGCCCATCGTCACGCGAAAGTGCGTTGCCAATTTCGTTTCGTGTCGCAGCTCTCCTGCTCGACGGTTTCCTAAGAAAAATTCGCGCGTTTCGAATTTGGGTTTCCGAATCGCACGCGTTTGAAGCACAGCTGCGACTCCGTTCTGACAGGGCCTCCAGCAAAGGCCCCCATCGCATGCTTCCTGTGATGCGTGCGCCTCGCTCTTCTCACTCGAATGTGCGACCGTCCTCGCCAATTCGTGTCGTGCCGCGGCAGCCGTCGCACGACCTTCGCAGAGCAAGCAACATGCAGGGATGAAGGGGGACTCAAACGAATCAATTGTGTCGCCCGCCACCTCCAGTCCAGCCGACTGCACTTTTTCGCTTCCGCCCGCGCGCTCTCCCGTCCCGAAGTTGTGCTGCTGGCTGCCAGGCAGCCATCATCAGCTGCCCCTGCTGCATGCCATCCACACTGACTGCTCGCTGTGCTTCCCCCACCTAGCAGAGCACGCAAACTTCCGCCAAGCCCCGCCCGTGCTGTCCAGTTGCCGCCGCAGCCTGCCTTCCGACCATCGCTCCCATTACCTCCGACCATTCGCCTCTTACGATCTCGTCATCACCTCACCCCTTCGCTTTCCTTTAGGAGCCCTTCCTCACCACTAGTCCTACCCCGTCGTCATCCTGCAATATCTCGGGTCAGCGTCGTAGTTTGACCTAGGCTCCTGGGTTCATATTCCCCTTCCTTTCCATTAGGCTTAGCAGCGCACAAGCAACCTTTACTACTTGTGGTCAGTCACAGTCCTCCAGCCTTTGGTAGCAGCGATTACCTAGCTTCCTAACTTCATCGCCATGACACGGGGTCAGCGACGCCCGCTGTGGGTAACAAGCGCGGGCCTCGCCGCCGTCGCCGTGCTTCTCGTTGCAGCCGCGTCCTTCGCTTCCGCAACCGAGCCCGAAATTATCCAGCTCCCCAGCGGCACGTGGAGCATGAGCACCGTCGACACGAGCGACAAGAATGCGGGCATGGCGAACGACGCGGAGAACGAGGAGCGCGGGTACCTCCACTACATGGCTACGGCCGTCAACAAGGGCCTCCATCTCGCGCAAGCCGCCGCGTCGATCCGCGACGTGAACGAAACCGCCGCCGCTGCCATCCAGAGCGCCGCCGCGCTTCCCGCGGATCAGCAGGCCTCCGCGGCGCAGGCCGATGTGTACACGTCGAACATGGGGCAGTATCTTAAGTACCATGGCGGGAAGATGATGACGGAGCCTAACGAGCTTAAGGTGTACGTTTTGTGGTACGGCCGCTGGACCAAGAAGCAGAAGCGCATCATCCGCCGGTTCCTGGTGTCGCTAGACCGCTCGAAGAATAACTACCAGAAGTTTCCGACGGTGGTCGGGTGGTGGGCGATTAACGTGCGGTATTACACCAACGGCCAGAACCAGCGGACGACGCCGTACGTGAAGCTGTCGAAGGAGATCAACGCTAAGTACAAGCTCGCGCCGCTGGGAACCGTTCTGAACCCCTTGACGCACGACAACGTCCGCGCGCTCCTCGCGAGCGCGTTCGACAAGAAGCAGAAGAACTACTTCCCCATGGACCCTAACGCGGCGTATTTGGTGCTCACCAGCCAGGACGTTTACGTGACGGATTTCTGCAAGGGCCTGTGCGCGTACCACACGAGCGCGACCTTCAACGGCACCAAGCTCGCGTACGCGTTTGTGGGCAACCCCGCTAAGCAGTGCCCGCAGTACTGCACGTACCGGTACTTCGATCCGACGTTCAGCGGCGTGAACGGCGACCTGGGCGCGGACTCGGTTGTGGACAAGATCGGGCACGAGCTGTCGGAGCTTGTAACGAATCCGTTCCATGGGCGCAACGACAAGGCCGGGTGGGTCGTCGCCAAGTCGCAGATCGAGAACGCGGACCTGTGCGAGTGGAGGTATGGCCCGACTAATTACGAGGAGGGTGGCAAGGTGTGGAACGTCAAGGGCTTCAACGGCACTAAATTCCTGGTCCAGATGAACTTTAATGTCCGCAAGCGCGAGTGCGCGCTCCAGGGCGACGGGACTGTGCAGGCCGGCATCCTGCCTTCCCCGTAGGCGTTCCCGATTGGGGGGGCGTCTGAAAAGCGCGGAGTGGCTCTCCGCGGGGGAGTCGCGAGCTTTAATGAGCAGGTTGAGCGGGACTCGGTCGGCAGAGGAAGATCAGGGCAGTACATGATAGAGGCATCTGGTAGTAGAGCTGGTCTAGCCAGGCGGTTCGTAGGAGATTTTTTTGATGAGGTTTTGAAAGGAAGGCGGAGCGGTTTATCGGAGGGCGTTTAAGTCGAAGGTCCGCAAGGTGTAGGTCATAAAGAGCGTGGCGCGGGACAGCTTGGAGTGCGTGTTAGGGGGCGGAGACTGCGGGGCTCGAAGAGGGGACGGGGGAAGTGGGTTGGTAACTGGTGGCGCGCTTAGTGGTGTGTGCTTAACTTCTGTGGGTATTCGTCGTCTCTATTGGATCTAGGGATGCCTCTCGCGCTGTGAATAGCTTTTGTTAGTAGGGACTGCGGCAGAGTTCAGGAGGGATGACCTTGTAGGAATGTTCCTGGAGTGGGGTTCTGTTTTTGTGATAATTCTAGTTGCCTACGCTGTCTGCAGGTCTGATTTCCATGTGCAATGCTTGTTATTGAAGTGACCATCTCAGTTGTATCACTTGTGGAGTTGGCTCATGATTCTTCAGCTGTAGTAGCTAAGGCCATTATAACAAACAGTACTAAGTGCCTTGGGAAGGCCATCATAACAAGCAGCACTAAGTGCCTTGGGAAGGCCATCATAACAAGCAGCACTAAGTGCCTTGGGAAGGCCATCATAACAAGCAGCACTAAGTGCCTTGGGGAAGGCCATCATAACAGGAGTGGAAGTGATGGAAGATATACAACAATTGCCAGCAGTGTTCTGTTGAAGGATGCTTGTTGTGATAGTACCTTAGGTCATCCTTGTTGAGTGACCCGCTGGGGTTGCCCTTGAGATCCTCGGGGAAGGGCCACAGGTGCAGAGCCTGGGGGGCTATGGGCGCACTTACCCGCTATTCAACAAGCCCTTTTAACCCAGTGGTTAGTGGCTGGGTTTCTGACATGGTACATCAGAGCCAAAGGTCTTGGGTTCAACTCCCAGTGCCAGCGCTGCAGAGGCGCTCGTGTCTTCCACCTATCCCAGCGGGGGGGGGGGTGTTGAGTGACCCGCTGGGGTTGCCCTTGAGATCCTCGGGGAAGGGCCACAGGTGCAGAGCCTGGGGGGCTATGGGCGCACTTACCCGCTATTCAACAAGCCCTTTTAACCCAGTGGTTAGTGGCTGGGTTTCTGACAATCCTAACGAGGAAGCCCCACCAGATCTGTTGTATTTTCAGATGTCCAACATGTATTCATATCTCTGATGAGTGGATGCGTGAGTATTAGGTCACTAGACGCAGCCTGTAATTTAGTAATTTTGCCAAACAATGACCCCTCAGATAAGCACTCGAAATCGCTTAGAATCATCCAAATCATCATCACTACTAGTATTACAGAGCTTTGTCGTGTCCTAGAGCGGGAAACGGGTGATCAAAACTGCGGATACACCTGTTCCACGCTAAAGGAGGGGTTTTTTCACGCGGTTCGGGCCTGTTCCCCAGAGATTCCAAACCACGGGCAAACGGGACATTAGCCCGGAAAATGCACAGTTCCTCCCTGGGCAAAATGTTGAACATTTCGGCCTGACTTTGGGGGTCAATCCGGTTCAGCTCGGTACCTGGTTGCTGGGACTGAATGTTGGGGGACACGAGGATGCGAGAATTGCATTGGGACCCTACGGGCGACAAGATCAGGCGAGAATTGCAATTTGGACTGTTCGTCTGAGAACCATAGCGTGGAGCAGGTGTACCTTAGGTCCTCACCCGCACCCTGCAACCAGTCCCCTTTGGCGAAGGCTCAATTCAAACTACACGTTCAGCAGTATCGTGTTGTCCTTAGTGGAAACAAGCTCAGCTCTCGTCAGTGACGTGACGAGTTGTTTCGTCGCGAGATTTTCGAGCCCAGCTGCAGCAGCAAGGAACTGCGGGGATCGGCGCAGCGCCGCGCGACGTGAAGCGAAGCGAAGCATGAAGATCGAGGACGTGCAGTCGACGAGCAAGAAGCAGCGAGTCGCGTCGCACACGCACATCAAGGGGCTCGGCCTCAAGGTGCGACCCCAGGAACGGGTCGCCGCCGCCTCAAGGCGTACTTCTAGCCGTAGCGTCATTCTGCCAGTTAGCTGTTCCTTTTTTGCCCGATGTCCGCAGCGCGCGTGTCGAAACCGTACGATCTCCTGTGAATGGATCTTCTGACGTTCAGGAATCGCGAAGGTCGCCTGGGGATCGCTTCCGGGCGGATCTCGTTAATTACCGGACGGCCCGTACCAGCAATGCTTACGACAAGCAGGGTTGCCGTTAGTTGTGGCATCCGTCACTTCGTTAGACGAATCTTCGACGTGCTGTTTCACTCTCGCTAATCCTCCTTCTCAACATACCCTCTCCCCAACATCCCATCTCGAATGTCGCCCCATCCCTTCTGCCCGCTTTCCCGCTGCGCAAATTCATCCCCGCTTCCCCCACCCTCCCCAGCTGCCCCCATCGTTCCGCGCGAGCGGGCGCACAGGAGGATGGGTGCACATTGGAGGTGGGGGGGGGTGGGTGCTTCGTGGGGCAGGAGCGCATGCGCGAGGCGTCTTAAATCCCTCCTTTTCTCCTCCCCCACCCCCACCCCCCTCGCCCCCGCTCGTCGCATTCCTTCTGCAGGAGGATGGGTGCGCGGTGGAGGTGGGCGGGGGGTTCGTGGGGCAGGAGCGCGCGCGTGAGGCGGCGGGGCTGGTGGTGGACCTGATCCGCTCCAAGCGCATGGCGGGGCGCGCGCTGCTGCTGGCGGGTGCGCCGGGCACGGGGAAGACCGCACTGGCGCTGGGAATCGCGCAGGAGCTGGGGTCTAAGGTGGGCTTGGGGGGCCTAAGGTGTGCTTGGGAGGTCTCAGGCGGCTTGGGGTCTAAGACGGGCTTGGGGTCTAAGGCGGGCTTGGGGTTTGAGGTTTTATAGGGTTTAAGGCAAGCTGGGCTTTGGGATCAGGGGTCGGTGCGATGCCACACGCAGTTTGCCTTTGGGATGGTTGTATGATGAACGTTACAGGCAGGTACAGGACGGTACGGTATGGTGTATGAGGCCTTGGCCGCGCTGTTGGCATTGGTCTGATCCTCGTGGGGGTCTGCTGCCCTCCCCTGTCTGCACTGCACCCTCGCATACTCGCAGCTTTCTTGTCGTCCGAGCCGACTCAGCCATGCCCTCTCAAGCGGTCCGTGTATTAATGCAACCTGGGTACATGCTAGGCAACCACGTTGGGTGTAGATAGATAGTCCAATAAGCAAGGGGAGCCACCGCCTACGAGAGCTCAGCCAGGGGCTCTATTTACTATGACAAAGCAGTCCCCAAGGGGCAGCGTTCTGTCAGGGGAGCCCAAAGGGGGTCCTCTGCCTGAGCCGCCCTGTTCACTTTCGCCAGGTAGGCCATGGCTTGGGCCCGCTGCAAGGTGACCGACCACCGCTGGCGAAACTGGTGTAGCAGTTTCGCCCCCGCTTGGTATGAAGTGGGGTCCAGGAGGCGTTGAAGAGCGAGCTTCCTGGCGGCCGTGTCACGGTGTCCGCCAGGAGCTTGAGGAACGTCGGCACCTCGTCGCACGGGCAGGCAGGCAGGCAGGCAGGCAGGCAGCCATATGTTTCCACAGCAAGGGAGGAGACGGAAGCCGATTTAATCCGCCCGGTTGCTTGCGGTAGTGGTAGGTCGACCTTCTTGGTGGGGGACTCCGTCTTTGAGGCCGTGCGCTCTCTCTCTTCTTTCATGCTGCCGTCGCGCCGCCCACACTTGTGCTGGCTGGCAGGTGTCTTTCTGCCCCATGGTGGGATGGGAAATGCTCAGGAAGAAGACGGAGTCCCCTACTCCTCCTCCCATCCCCTTCATTTCCCCCCTCCTCCTACTCACTTGATAATTCTTTCTCTGCTCCCATCCCCTCTCCCTCGTGCTGCCACGTGGTGGGGTCGGAGGTGTTCAGCATCGAGGTGAAGAAGACGCATTCTCTCTCACTCATTCACCCCTCCTCCACTCCCCAAAACCCCCCCCTCCCCTCTCGCGCTCTCGCTCTCCCTGGTACCACGCAGGTGCCGTTCTGCCCGATGGTGGGGTCGGAGGTGTTCAGCAGCGAGGTGAAGAAGACGGAGGTGCTGATGGAGCACCTGCGCCGCGCCATCGGGCTGCGCATCCGCGAGAAGAAGGAGGTGTACGAGGGCGAGGTGAGGGGAGAGGGGAGAGGGGAGAGGGGAGAGGGGAGAGGGGAGAGGGGAGAGGGGAGAGGACGAGGTGGGTGAGAGAGGGGGCGAGGTGGGTGATAGGGTAGGGAATCTGGTGAGTCAGCTCCCATGTTGTGAGGCCGCTCGCTGCTGCTCCTTCACGCGTGTCTCTCCTGGTTTGCATGCATGGGCTTCACTGTGTGCTCATGTGCGCATGGAGCACCTGAGGCACGCCATTAGGCTGCGCATCCACGAGAAGGAGGTGTACAAAGGCGAGGTGGGTGGGTGGGGGAGAGGGCGATGTGAGAGAGAGGGGGGGGGAGAGAGGAGGTGAGAGGAAGAGGGGTCGAGGTGAGAGAGGGCGAGAGAAAGGGTCTGCATGTCCCGTCGTGTAGAGAAGGCACCAGGAAAAATCCTAGCTCCCGAGCCCCCTCCCTCGTCCCTGTTGTGTCTTTCCGCCGTTCTCCCTCTCCACCTTGTGTTGGTGATGCATTGATTTTTTAGGCGCCTCAAAAAATCTCCACCTTGTGTTGGTGATGCATTGATTTTTTAGGCGCCTAAAAAAATCTCCACCTTGTGTTCGTGACGCATTGTGCTGGCAGGTGGTGGAGCTAGCACCTGAGGGGATTCCTCTCTCCTTCCCTTTTATTTATAGTCTTTCCATCTCTCTGTGTACTGGCAATGTGCTGGCATGTGCTGGCATGTGCTGCAATGTGCTGGCATGTGCTGCTGTGTGCTGGCATGTGCTGCTATGTGCTGGCATGTGCTGTAACGTGCTGGCATGAGCTGGCATGTGTGGGCATATGCGGGCAGGTAGTGGAGCTGCCACCTTAGGAGACGGAGGGTGAGAATGAGGGCGCTTCCGCACCTTGCCTTTCCCCACCTCCCCGTTCTGCCTCTTTTCCTCTTGCCACTCCTGCTCTCCTCCTCCCCCCCCGCTCCGCCGGGCTTGCAGGTGGTGGAGCTGGCACCAGAGGAGACGGAGAGTGTGAGTGGGGGGTACGGCAAGGCAATCAGCCCCCTCCCACCCCCCTACCCATCTTCTTTATCTCCTCCCTCGAACATGGCCGGCAGGTGGTGGAGCTAGCCCCCGAGGAGACGGAGAGTGTGAGTGGGGGATACGGCAAGGCGATCAGCCACGTGGTGATCGGGCTCAAGACGGTCAAGGGCACCAAGCAGCTCAAGCTCGACCCCTCCATCTACGACGCGCTGCTCAAAGAAAAGGTCGGGTTTTATAGCGATCCTTTGGTTATTGAAAGTTCCAAAACAACTCAACCAGAGCAGCTCAAGCTCGACCCCTCCATCTACAACGCGCTGCTCAAAGAAAAGGCTAGGCTTTTTATTTGAGGGATCGGTTGGCTGGTATTTTAGAAAGTTCCAGAACAACTCAACCAACGCGGCTCAAGCGCGACCCCTCCATCTACGGCGCCCTGCTCAAAGAAAAGGTCACCTGCGCTTCTCCCCACTCTCCCCCTCTCCCCCTCCCCCCCCCTTCCCCCCCTTATCCCCCTCTCCTCTGAAGCGGTCTCGAGCCATCTCTCTTACTCTCTCGTCCGTCTCCCTTCGCTTCCCCTCTCCACCCTCATGTTTCTTGCTTGTGAGGTGTTGTAGTCTAGACCTACTGTCGTTATGAATGAGCAGACCACAATTAAACTTTCTGGCGAGCTCCCCCTTTTAATCCCTGTTTCCTCTTCTTTCCTGGCCCCTGCACCCCCCACCCACTTGTAAATTATGCTTCCCTTCTGTCGTTGTGCACAGGGAGACACCCCCCCCTCTCCCCCCCCCCCTTGTTTCTTCTGATTTCCTCCACTCAACGCCCCGCCGGGTGTATTTTGAGTCGACTCAAAATACACCTGGCCTGCAACCCCCACCCACTTGTAAATAATGCTTCCCTTCTGTCATTGTGCACGGGGAGAAACCCCTCCCCCCCCTCTCCCCCCACCCCTTGGTTCTACTGATTTCCTCCTCTCAATGCACCGCCGGGTGTCCGTGGGCGACTTGATCTACATCGAGGCGAACAGCATCACGGTGAAGTGCATTGAACTCAATCATCCCCCCCGTCCCCCTCCCCTTCCCCACCCTCCCCCACCCACCCACCCCCCCTGCACTGCTGCCCCCCTATGCTTCCTCCCAGGTGTCCGCGCGCGACGTGATCTACATCGAGGCGAACAGCGGCGTGGTGAAGCGCGTTGAACATGGACCCCCCTGCCTCCTGGCCCCCTCCCCTTCCCCCCACCCCCCCACCACCCCCCTCTGCACTCTGCACTTCTCCTCTGTGCTTCCCCCCAGGTGTCAGTGGGCGATGTGATCTACATCGAGGCGAACAGCGGTGCAGTGAAGAGGGTGGGGCGCAGCGACGCGTTTGCAAGCGAGTTCGACCTGGAGGCGGAGGAGTACGTGCCGGTGCCCAAGGGAGACGTGCACAAGCGCAAGGAGATCGTGCAGGTGGGGGGATAGAGAGGGGGAGGGGGAGGGGGGAAGTGGGGGTGAAAGCGGGAAGGAGGGGAGGAAAAAGGGGGGTGGGAAAGTCGCGGGTGGACGAAGAGAGAGGAGTCCGTGCCCGTGCCCAAGGGGGATTTGCACAAGCGCAAGGAGATCGTGCAGGTGGGGGCGGGGGAGGGGAGGGAGGAGGTGACGGGGGAGGGGCAGGTAGGAAAACGAGGGGTTTCTTGTGGGGGGGGGAGAGGTGAAAGGGAGGGGAGGGTGGGAATTAGGGGCGACGGAGGGGATCGAAGGAGTATGTGCCGGTGCCCCCAAGGGGGACGTGCGCAAGCGTAAGGAGATCGTGCAGGTGGGGGGGGGGAGGGGAGAAGGGAGTAAAGGGTAGGAAGCTGGGGCGATGCATGCCGCCCATGCCGACGAGGGAGAATGGTGGGATCGTAGGAGTGCGTACCCTTGCCGATGAGGGACGTGCACAAGCGCAAGGAGATCGTGCAGGTGGGGGGATGAAGGGGCGATAGACGGAGGGGTCGTGCGTAGGATAGGGGGCGTGTGATTGGGTAGGGTTGGAAGGCAGGGGGTGGTTGGTAGAAATCAAGTTTTGAGACGTCTCAGAACTAAATAGCAATAGCAAGAAGGGGCGGGGAGTGCGTGCTCGTGCCCTTGCCCATGCCCGTGCCCGTGCCCATGGGGGACGTGCACGAGTGTATGAAGATCGTGCAGGTGTGGGGGGGGGAGTGGGGGAAGAGTGGGAGGGATTTTAGGGGGAAGTGGGGGGGGGATATGTTTTGGGGGGGGATGGGGTGTGTCTCTCTTTCTCTCCATTTCTCCCTCCCTTCGCCCCCAAGGCGTGACTCAGCCCACGACTTGGACGCCCTGCATGGCACCATTTTATTACATCCTCGCTCTTCAAATTCGCTGTCCCCACCTGACGTGACCCTGCATGACGTGGATGCGGGGAACACGCAGCTGCAGGGCGAAATGCAGCCCGAGAGAAAGGGCTGTATGTATCCCTCACCCACCACTCGCTCTCCCCATTCTCCCCCTTCTTCTCACACCTCCCTACCTGATTCCCCCCCTCCCCCCCTTCTCGCCGTCCCCCATCCCCTCCGTCGCCCCCTCGCTCCATCTCCCCCCTTCCCCGTCTTTCCGGCTCTCCCCCTCTCTCCCCTCTCCCCGTTTCCCAACCCCAGGACGTGACGCTGCACGACCTGGACGCGGCCAATGCGCAGCCGCAGGGCGGGCAGGACATAATGAGCATGATGGGGGCGCTGCTGCGGCACAAGAAGACCGAGATCACCGACAAGCTTCGGCAGGAGATCAACAAGGTGAGGGAAGGGGCATGGGGGAGTTTGGGGTTGGCGAAACAGGCCTGAGGGAAGGGGGGAAGGGAGGGGGTTGTGGGGAGAGAGGGACAGAAGAGGTGGCTGTGAAATGCACGGAAGATGAAAGAGTGGTCAGGATGAAGCGGTGAGAGAGAAGTCTATTTTTTAGGCGCCTCAAAAAAAATTTTGAGGCGCCTCAAAGATGAAAGAGTGGTCAGGATGAAGCGGGGAGAGAGTGCGAGGGAGTGAGTGCTTATGGAGGGGGGAGTGGAGGAAAGGGAGTGAGGAGAATGTGATGAGCGGCGGGGGATGATGCGCCTGATGAGCACTTCATTTCACACGTGAAGTGCTCTTGAAGTGAAGGAAAGGGGGAATGCAGGAGAGTTGTTAAGCACATGTGAAAGGGGAGGTGGAGGGTTGATGGAGGGGGCTCCTCTGTGTTTGTCGTTTTCCTTGCTGGCCAATAGCCATGGGGTGTGTCACGTTGTCAGATTGTGGAAGGCTTTTGAGTCGACTCAAGAGTCACTGCTTCACCCACTCAAAAGCAGTCACGTTGTTAGATTGTGGAGTGCTTCTCCAGAAGGACTCAAGAAGGAAGTGCTTCTCCAGAAGGACTCAAGAAGGAAGTGCTTCTCCAGAAGGACTCAAGAAGGAAGTGCTTCTCCAGAAGGACTCAAGAAGGAAGTGCTTCTCCAGAAGGACTCAAGAAGGAAGTGCTTCTCCAGAAGGACTCAAGAAGGAAGTGCTTCTCCAGAAGGACTCAAGAAGGAAGTGCTTCTCCAGAAGGACTCAAGAAGGAAGTGCTTCTCCAGAAGGACTCAAGAAGGAAGTGCTTCTCCAGAAGGACTCAAGAAGGAAGTGCTTCTCCAGAAGGACTCAAGAAGGAAGTGCTTCTCCAGAAGGACTCAAGAAGGAAGTGCTTCTCCAGAAGGACTCAAGAAGGAAAGGAAGTGCTTCTCCAGAAGGACTCAAGAAGGAAGTGCTTCTCCAGAAGGACTCAAGAAGGAAGTGCTTCTCCAGAAGGACTCAAGAAGGAAGTGCTTCTCCAGAAGGACTCAAGAAGGAAGTGCTTCTCCAGAAGGACTCAAGAAGGAAGTGCTTCTCCAGAAGGACTCAAGAAGGAAGTGCTTCTCCAGAAGGACTCAAGAAGGAAGTGCTTCTCCAGAAGGACTCAAGAAGGAAGTGCTTCTCCAGAAGGACTCAAGAAGGAAGTGCTTCTCCAGAAGGACTCAAGAAGGAAGTGCTTCTCCAGAAGGACTCAAGAAGGAAGTGCTTCTCCAGAAGGACTCAAGAAGGAAGTGCTTCTCCAGAAGGACTCAAGAAGGAAGTGCTTCTCCAGAAGGACTCAAGAAGGAAGTGCTTCTCCAGAAGGACTCAAGAAGGAAGTGCTTCTCCAGAAGGACTCAAGAAGGAAGTGCTTCTCCAGAAGGACTCAAGAAGGAAGTGCTTCTCCAGAAGGACTCAAGAAGGAAGTGCTTCTCCAGAAGGACTCAAGAAGGAAGTGCTTCTCCAGAAGGACTCAAGAAGGAAGTGCTTCTCCAGAAGGACTCAAGAAGGAAGTGCTTCTCCAGAAGGACTCAAGAAGGAAGTGCTTCTCCAGAAGGACTCAAGAAGGAAGTGCTTCTCCAGAAGGACTCAAGAAGGAAGTGCTTCTCCAGAAGGACTCAAGAAGGAAGTGCTTCTCCAGAAGGACTCAAGAAGGAAGTGCTTCTCCAGAAGGACTCAAGAAGGAAGTGCTTCTCCAGAAGGACTCAAGAAGGAAGTGCTTCTCCAGAAGGACTCAAGAAGGAAGTGCTTCTCCAGAAGGACTCAAGAAGGAAGTGCTTCTCCAGAAGGACTCAAGAAGGAAGTGCTTCTCCAGAAGGACTCAAGAAGGAAGTGCTTCTCCAGAAGGACTCAAGAAGGAAGTGCTTCTCCAGAAGGACTCAAGAAGGAAGTGCTTCTCCAGAAGGACTCAAGAAGGAAGTGCTTCTCCAGAAGGACTCAAGAAGGAAGTGCTTCTCCAGAAGGACTCAAGAAGGAAGTGCTTCTCCAGAAGGACTCAAGAAGGAAGTGCTTCTCCAGAAGGACTCAAGAAGGAAGTGCTTCTCCAGAAGGACTCAAGAAGGAAGTGCTTCTCCAGAAGGACTCAAGAAGGAAGTGCTTCTCCAGAAGGACTCAAGAAGGAAGTGCTTCTCCAGAAGGACTCAAGAAGGAAGTGCTTCTCCAGAAGGACTCAAGAAGGAAGTGCTTCTCCAGAAGGACTCAAGAAGGAAGTGCTTCTCCAGAAGGAAGCATGCATGCTCGAATCTCCCCTCTCTCCCCCTCCCCCTCATTTTTGAGTCGACTGAGGAAATTTTTTCTCCAGAAACGTGCCGCCTGCTCGACTTCGCACTCTCTCAAACTCTCTCATCCACCTCCGTTTCCTGTTCGCCCTCTCCCCTCGTCTCCGCCTGTGCATGCATGTGTGTGTGTGTGTGTGCGCGCGCGCGCATGCGCATGCATGTATGTGTGTGTGAGACACCACCAACCCACCTTCCCACCTTCCCACCCGCCCACCCGCCCACCCGCCCACCCCTCCGTCCACCCGCCCACGTGTGCAGGTGGTGAACAAGTACATCGACGAGGGCATAGCGGAGCTCATTCCAGGAGTGCTCTTCGTTGATGAGGTGCGCTCGTCTGTGCGCTCGTCTGCTGCCTCTGCTGCCTCTGCTGCCTCTGCTGCCTCTGCTGCCTCTGCTGCCTCTGCTGCCTCTGCTGCCCCTGCGGCCTCTGCTGCCTCTGCTGCCTCTGCTGCCTCTGCTGCCTCCGCTGCCTCCGCTGCCTCTGCGGCCTCTGCGGCCTCTGCTGCCTCTGCTGCCTCTGCTGCCTCTGCTGCCTCTGCTGCCTCTGCTGCCTCTGCTGCCTCTGCTGCCTCTGCTGCCTCTGCTGCCTCTGCTGCCTCTGCTGCCTCTGCTGCCTCCGCTGCCTCTGCTGCCTCTGCTGCCTCTGCTGCCTCTGCTGCCTCTGCTGCCTCTGCTGCCTCTGCTGCCTCTGCTGCCTCTGCTGCCTCTGCTGCCTCTGCTGCCTCTACTGCGCTGTCTTCCCATCGTCTCTTCTTTTGAACACCTTTCTGGTGTCTTGCCCCTTGTGGCTTTTTCTTGCGGCGTTTTCGGAGTTGAAGGATTAAATTTGAATGCACGAGCCCTCTGTTCATGCAATAAGCTTGAGCATAGCTTTAATCCTGTGATAGTCCTCGATTCTTGCGCTCATGCATCATCTGGTCATTGCCTGCACAGCAGCATCTCTGCATTTTTGTGTTCCTTCTTCTCATGTATTCCCCCCTTTGCCACTCCCCTCCCCCCCCTCCTCCCTCCTCCCTCTTTCCCCCCCTCCTCCCCCTCCCCTCCCTCCGTTTCTGTCTCCCCCCTTCCCGTGGTTTGGTCCTTCCCATTCATCGTTGCTTCTATCGAATCACCGCTACTGCATCCCCCCGATTCCCCCATCAGGTGCACATGCTCGATATAGAGTGCTTCACGTTCCTCAACAGAGCGCTGGAGAGCCAGCTAGCGCCCATAGTTATCTTCGCCACCAACCGAGGCATCTGCCCCATCCGGTACGCCCGAATCCCGATCCAACTCAACCACATTCACCTGGCTCCCCTCCCAATCGCATCCCTATCCTGCACGTCCCACCCTTCCCAATCCGTGTGTAATGAGTCGATTTTTGAGTCGACTAAAAAATCGACTCATTACACACGTCCCCCCGTCCCAATCCTTGTTGCAATGCACCGCGGATACGAAAAGAGGTGAGTCGTCAGGCTAAAACCCAGCTAGCCAACCCCTGTGTTGTGTTGGTGTCTCTTGTTGCCTAAACAAATCCCTCCCACTCCACCATTCCCCCCTTCTACTGGTGGCCCGCCCCTGCTGTCTTTGCTGCTGCTGGATTTCGAATGGCGTGTCATGGCGTGCCATGGCATGTTGACAGGGGCACGGACGTGCTGAGTCCGCACGGCATCCCCGTTGACTTGCTTGACCGCCTGGTCATCATCACCACTCTGCCCTACACCCCCGACGAAATGCTCAAGGTGTGACGAAGCAGGCGCGCTTTGCCGTGAGGCACCTGGAAGATGCCCCTGTGCCAGCTATGCCCGTGACGTAACATGCAATGCTATGCTGCCACAGGCCATGCGGTCCCATGCCATGGATGCCATGCTGTTGCATGCCATGCCATGCTGACATTCATCCTGACCATACGTTGTATTTACTGTCTGGTGCCAGTTTTCTTGTATTCTGGTCCATCTCTCCGTTTTAACAAGTCAACTGTTGGCTCAGTCCCATCTTTTTGCACTCCTGCGCGACAGTCGGCTTTCCTTTGCGTTAAAGAAGTCTACGACCAATAAAAATTCGGCCCGAGTTTCTTCTTTCGCACCCCCAATGTTGCCCTTATCTCTCCGCTTACCTCCATGTCATGCATGTCTCCCACCCATCCCTTCCATGTCATCCATGCCACCCATGCCACACATGTCACGCATGTCATGCATGTCAGATCATTGCAATCAGAGCGCAAGTGGAGGGCCTCACCATTGACGAGCAGTGCCTTGCCTTGCTCGGGGAGATCGCAGAGCGAACCTCCCTCAGGTCCTTCGCATTCCCTCCTTACCCGTTTCCCGCCGAGTACCTCCTTTGCCGGAATGTGCCCGTATCGTGGTCTCTGTTTGATCATGTGACTCGATTGCTTTCTGGGCCTTGAACGTTCCTTCTCTTGGTATTAGCCCCTCCCTCTCTTGGCATTAAAATATTTTATTTTTGCTTTGTCACTGCTTTGTTACAGACATGCAGTCCAGCTCCTCACTCCCAGCAGTATTGTGGCGAAGGCAAATGGTCGAAGCAACCTGACAAAGGTGAGGATTCCATTGCTAAGCTGTTTTGCTCGTGTTTGCTTGGAAGCTTCATTGGCTCTTCATTACGTGTGTTGGTGCCTTACTTGTTTTATCAGGATGACATTGATGCGGTCTCGCTTCTATTCTTGGACTCCAAGGCATCAGCAAGGATGCTACAGGAGCATTCAGACAAATATGTTTCACAATGATAATGATTTTGTCTGATAACGTGTAAGTATAAGAGACGTTTTGGTTCTACTTGCTTTTCAGGAAAAGTTTTAAGAATATTCATAGCGCTGATATGCACTGTGAAAGCGTATGAGCATAGGCAGCCTGTTATTCTGGCCGCTTGGAGCAAAGCTTGTTGGGAGTACGATGCCACGTAGTGTCCACGTATGCAATACGTCATTTAGGCCACGTGGTGCCCGCTAAACAATATGGTTGGATGAGATTTTCCTCTATCCTCCTACGTGTTGGTGTCTTCCCACACGGCCATCCATCGTTCGTTTGCTTTCCTACTCGACAAAAACTGCCGCATTTGGGGTAACCCACCAACCACACTTCAGCGCGCCATGTGGCGGCGTTGACAGGTCATCACCCGAACCGAACCCCTTCCGAACCAAGTCCACGCCAGCAACAGCTTCGTTCTCCCTTTCTCATGTTCACTTCACCTAGGAAGGCCCAGAAACCGAGTCGAATCCATCAGCACCTAGTGGAGGTTTTCCCTTGGAAGTACCGAGTGGTGTGCCCATTTTCGGAAGGGAAAATAAAACATGTGGAAAAGTATCTGTTGATCTTGGTGTGGACGACACAAGCCTACTGTGTTCTATTTAGAAGTAAGGTAGATTTGTTTGCTTGAACTGTACTACGAAGGAAGTTCCGAATATTCCCCATTTCCCGTTTACGGAAGAAACGTTTTGTAACTTCCACTTCACGCGACCCCTTGGCGCTTGGGCTTCCACGCGGATAGAGGCCCGAACAGGGCCACCGGCAGCAGCACAACACAAAAGCTATGGCGACCGCCTCATTTATGCCCTCTCCGTAGCGGATACGCTTCAGGCTTCAAGTCTGAAAACGCTTCAAACACACAACACAGCATCAAGCAAGCAATCCGATCGGCTCACCCTTAGCAGCGAACCGCCTCCTCGCAGACCAACTCAATGGAACGGGTAGCCATGTCCCAGTCAATCACGAGTCAACTATCCGCCTGTGCTGCTGTGAAAACAGCGATTGGCTCGGCGCAGCAACATGCCGCCGCGCCGCAGCCGCACTCGCGGTTCCTGGGCTCGCGCAACCCGCTCGTGTCTTCCTCCGCGTCCAGCCTCTTCGCGGGAGATCGTCGGGTGCTCTCAAGCCCCAGCCACTGCAGGCCATGCGGGGGCTCCGCCGCCGCTGGCGCAAGCAGCAGCGCTTTCCCCTCCGCCACGGCGCGCGCGGCTTCCGCGGCGGAGGCGGAGAACGACAGCAACCCCATGCGCGAGTGGCTGCAAGGCAGGACCGCCCACGGGGAACAGCAGACCCAGCAGGGTTCAGGGTTTAACACCATGGACGCGGAAGACTCCGTGAGGGACGGCGAGGGCGCCACGTGGCGAGAAGAGTGCGGAGTGGTGGGCATCTGGGGCGATCCCGACGCGGGGAGGCTGTGCTATCTTGCGCTGCACGCGCTACAGCACCGCGGGCAGGAAGGCGCGGGGATCGTGACTTGTAGCGGGAACGGGCGGCTGCGGTCCGTGACGGGGATGGGCCTCGTTGGCGAGGTGTTCGACTCCAACAAGCTTGCTGAGCTGGAAGGGTCCAGCGGCATCGGCCACGTCAGATACGCCACGGCGGGCGCGTCCGTGCTGAAGAACGTGCAGGTATGTGTGTGGGGGTGGGAGAGCGGGCGGGCGCGAGGGGGGGAAAGGGGGGAGGCGGGGGGGAGATGGGGGTTTTCCAGGGTTTGGGATGGGTGGCTGCGTGCGTTTTTGCGTGCCATTTTTTGCATCTTCGTACCACCCTTCCACAGTACCTGCTCTTCCCCCCGCGTCCCCCCGTTCCCCGTTCCCCGTTCCCCGTTCCCCTCCTAACCCCGTTCACTCTCCTTTCCTTCAAAAAAGGGTTGAGCTTTAACACACAAAGAAAGCTTCAGGCCGTTTTACTTCCCCGAGCTAAACGTGGTGGATTACCGCGTCCGCCCGCCAAGATTATTGAGTCGACTCAAACGTCGCCTCTCTTTACCCCCCCCCCCCCCCCCCCCCCCCCCCACCCTTCCCCCTCCCTCCTTCCGCTTCCCCCTCTCTCTCCCGCTCCCCCCCTCTTTCCCCCTACTCTCCCCTCTCCCCCAGCCGTTCGTGGCGGAGTACCGCTTCGGCCCCACAGCCGTGGCGCACAACGGCAACCTGGTGAACCACCGCAAGCTGCGGCACCGCCTGGAGGACGCGGGGTCCATCTTCAACACGTCGTCCGACACCGAGGTGATCCTGCACCTGATCGCCATGTCGACCGCGCGCCCGTTCATCGCGCGGCTCGTCTCCGCGTGCGAGCAGCTCGAGGGCGCGTATTCGCTGGTGTTTCTGACGGAGGATAAGCTCGTGGCGGCGCGCGACCCGTACGGGTTCCGCCCGCTGGTGCTGGGGCGGCGGAGGGACACGGGCGCGGTGGTGGTCGCGTCGGAGACGTGCGCGCTGGACCTGATTGGCGCGGAGTACGAGCGGGAGGTGAACCCGGGGGAGGTGGTTGTGGTGGACGGCAGCGGTGTGAGCTCCATGTGTCTGATGCCCAAGATGCCGCGCAAGGCGTGCGTCTTCGAACACATCTACTTCGCGCTCCCGCACTCGGTTGTCTTCGGACGATCCGTGTACGAGGTGAGAGTCTTTGGGAGGGGGAGGGGAGGGGGAGGGTGTTTTGGAGGAAGGGGCGGGAAGGGGGGGGGGAGGGGGGGGGAGCGGGGGTGCGCGAATGTGTTGTTAGAAGGAAAAAAGAAAGAAAGTAAGAGAAAAAAAACGAAACGGGTTTTGGGAAGTGTAGGAAGGCTGGGAGGGGCGTAGTGGGAAGGGGGCCGCCGCTAAGCGTGCTCGATAACGAAACGAGTGGAAAGAGAAAAAGGGCGACGAAATAGGAGCAACAATGTGGGAGTGTGAGAGAGTGGCCGTGTCGTTGACGGTAGAGAAAGGGCGACTCCCTTTCCCCGCCCCCCCCCGCCGCTGGATGGACGGTGGCGATTGCTGCATCCGAGTTCCATCCTTCCTTGCACGTGCAATAGATCAAACCTGCCGTCTCGCGACGGGAACGTCGACAGCAGGTTGGATCGCCCAACACGTACTACGAACGTCTGCACTGACAGGTGTTTATATCGTCCACGTAATGCAGCCTCATCCTGTCGTCGTGTGATTTTTTTTCTTCTTCTTCTTCCTTTTTGGTATCCTAAACAAACGCCTCATCCTGTCGTTCGTCCACGTAAACTCGGGCCCGCCTCGCTCGCGCTCTCCGTTGCGCGCGCCTTCGCCTCTCTCCGTTGCGCGCGCCTTCTCCGTCGTCGCAAAGCACGACTTTTATACCGCCCTTGAAGCCTGCTCTCGCATAGTATTCTACTCGCCTCGCCCTCTTCCCTTTCGCCCCCCCGTATCTCCTCTCTTCCGGCTTTCTTCCTTCTGTCTCTCGCATCCGTTTCTCCCCTCCGCTCTTCCTCGCACCGTTCGCTCGCGCATCCTCGCGCACACGGCACCGGCGGAGGCGGACGTGGTGATCGCAGTGCCGGACAGCGGCGTGGTGGCGGCGCTGGGGTTCGCGGCGTGGTGTGAGATGTCTAACGCTGTATTCTCCTCCTCCTCCCTTTTCCCCCGCCGCTTGCTGTCCGCCCCCTTTTCCGCCCCCATCCCCTTTCTCCCCGCTCGCCTCCGCTCCGCCTACTCTCCCCCGTCCCTTTCCCCCCGGCCCTTCAGTCGCGCTACAGCTTCGGGCGCATCCTGGCGCGCACGGCGCCGGCGGAGGCGGACGTGGTGATCGCGGTGCCGGACAGCGGCGTGGTGGCGGCGCTGGGGTACGCGGCGGAGGCGGGCGTGCCGTTCCAGCAGGGGCTCATCCGCTCGCACTACGTGGGCCGCACCTTCATCGAGCCGTCCCAGGGGATTAGGGACTTCGGGGTTAAGCTGAAGCTGGCTCCGGTCAAGGCTGTGCTCAAGGTGAGGAGAGCGGATGGGGGGATCAGCGGATGGGGGGATCAGCGGATGGGGGGATCAGCGGATGGGGGGATCAGCGGATGGGGGGATCAGCGGATGGGGGGATCAGCGGATGGGGGGATCAGCGGATGGGGGGATCAGCGGATGGGGGGATCAGCGGTTGGGGGGATCAGCGGATGGGGGGATCAGCGGATGGGGGGATCAGCGGATGGGGGGATCAGCGGATGGGGGGATCAGCGGATGGGGGGATCAGCGGTTGGGGGGATCAGCGGATGGGGGGATCAGCGGATGGGGGGATCAGCGGATGGGGGGATCAGCGGATGGGGGGATCAGCGGTTGGGGGGATCAGCGGATGGGGGGATCAGCGGATGGGGGGATCAGGGGCAGGAGTGGTAGGGAATGGGGAAAGAGGGGGGTGGGTAGGAGGGCGGAAAGTATTGGGGAGGGAGGGAAGCGGATGCCGGGGAATCAAGGAGGGGCCAGGGATGCCAGGGACCTACGGGGAGCAGTGGTCGAGTGGAACAGTGCACCTTGGGTAACACGTGGTGCGGCGTGGCGCTACGTGATGCGAGGTGATGCGACAAGAACCCGTGGTGTTGTAGCTGTTCTGATTCGCTGGTGCCGCTGCTGCTCTGCTCTGCTCTGCTCTGCTTCTCTCTTTGTCCCTCCTCTACTACTTCCCGCGCTCTCCGATACCCCTCCTCTCCTCTCCCCTCCCTCCCCCCCCAACACACACACTCACACTCTCGCAGAGCAAGCGCAAGGGGGTGGTGGATGACAGCATCGTGCCTCTTGAGTCGACTCACAAGTCGTGCCTCATTCCCGCGTCTCCCTCCCACCCATCCACAGGGCAAGCGTGTGGTGGTGGTGGACGACAGCATCGTGCGCGGCACGACGAGCAGCAAGATTGTGCGGCTGGTGAAGGAGGCGGGCGCCACCGCCGTGCACATGCGCATCGCGTGCCCGCCCATCACCGGCTCCTGCTACTACGGTGTCGACACGCCCTCCAGGGAGGTGAGGCGCTGGGGCTGTAATGGTGTGGGGGTGGGGGGGTAGCAAGGCGTGTGAGAGGAATTGGGGAATGGCAACCGCCGCCGTGCACATGCGCATCGCATGCCCGCCGATCACCGGCTCCTGCTACTCCGGCGTCGACACCCCTTGCGAGAGGTGGGTCGCTGAAAAAGGGGGGGAGGGAGACTTTTGAGAGGATGGTTAGCGGGAAGAGCAGCCACCGCAGTGCACATGCATATTGCGTGCGCATGCGCATGCCACCATTGGTGGCTCCTGCTACTACTATGGCGTCGACACCCCTTTTTCTTGAGGTAGGTCACTGGGGGGTGGTTGTTAAGGTGTGGAGGTGTGGAGAGAGGTTAGTTTAGACGCGGGCCACAGCCGTGCACATTCGCCTTGCGTGCCCGCCCATCACTGGTTCTTGCTGCTATGGCATTGAGGGTAGGGTTGAGGACTAGTGTAGTTGGGATGGGAGAGTTCGGAGAGGCTAGGGTTTTGAAAACTCTCGGAAACCTAACACGATTGGAGAGGCTAGGAAAGTGCACATGGGATTCGGAATAGGGTTGGCTTGTCTCTGGGCCTACTTTTCACAGCGCTTGAAGCGCATGATGCACATGAAGCGCGTGATGCATATGATCCACATGATGCGCATGATGCATATGATGCACATGATGCGTATGAAGCGCATGATGCGCATGATGCGTATGATGCATATGATGCACATGATGCGCATGATGCATATGATGCGCATGATGCACATGATGCGCATGATGCATATGATGCGCATGATGCATATGATGCGCATGATGCACATGATGCGCATGATGCACATGATGCGCATGATGCACATGATGCGCATGATGCACATGATGCGCATGATGCACATGATGCGCATGATGCACATGATGCGCATGATGCACATGATGCGCATGATGCACATGATGCGCATGATGCACATGATGCGCATGATGCACATGATGCGCATGATGCACATGATGCGCATGATGCATATGATGCGCATGATGCATATGATGCGCATGATGCATATGATGCGCATGATGCATATGATGCGCATGATGCATATGATGTGTTTGATGCGTATGATGCGTATGTTTGCGTATGTGTGGTGCTCATCAGCACTTCTCCCTATGCTGCCGTGCCACTGCCAGCCAATTTAGCAGATGGAGTATGGATGATTCAATTTAGGAACCGTCATGTTCCAGATGTCCTTGAGAGCACTCACGAAGTCAAAATCGCCCCCTCCCGAACCCCTCCCTTTGCCCGCCCCTTCTCTCCCCCCCCTCCTCCCCCCCTCATTGTAACCCCCCAACCACCTCAGTGTCTCATTTGCTGCATTACCCTATCCCCTGCTCATCCCCCCCATCCCACCCAGGAGCTGATCTCCTACCGCCTGAACATCGAGGAGACGCGCAAGTTCATCGGAGCCGACTCGCTCGCCTTCGTCCCCCTGGAGGACCTGCACTCGGTGCTGGGCGACGACGCCCCCACGTTCTGCGACGCCTGCTTCTCGGGCGCATACCCCGTGCCGCCTGAAGGGATGGGCGACGGCAAGGGGCTCACCGGCGGGCGGCTGCTGGAGGAGTCGGATGCGGATGTGGTGGAGGCGGAGATTGAGGCGGCTACTGCTGCCGCCGCTGGTGCTTGAGTCGGGTGCTTTGAGGTGGCTGCTGTGGCTGTTCTGAAGTTCTAGGCTTCCCAGGCGTTTTGGGGAGGGTAGTTGGGGTGAGGAGTCGCAATGCAGTTGGGGATGGAGAGAGGAGATGGCGGAGCAATTGGGATTTACAATCTGATTCCAGTATTTCTTTCGATTTTACTTCAATGGTATCGTTGGTCATGTGCTAGTTCAAAACATGATTTCTGTTCAACTAGTGCCGAATATGGAGTACACGAAGTCTGATTTGCGTACTTATGAGATGAATCTAGTCTAGCTGTTTTTGAATGTAACTGCTGCGTAGCGCGGAGGGCAATGGCGAAACTGTGACCGAGTGAATGAATCAAATGTGACCAGACGATATGTAGGAACACCTAACCTAATCCTGGTCGTAGGATCCGATGGTTCGGGAACGGTATCGAAGGTTCCTGGAGGTCCATAGAGAAGCGTGGTGATGAACAGAAGGCTCGGCTCTTGAAATCCGGACCGAAGCGTAGCTTCGTGACTCCTCTAGTGTACGCGATATTGAAGTCGTAAAGGAATATTAGTTCCTTACACCTGCGTGCTGAATTACTGCTGTCCAGCGTGTTGGTATTGCGTGGTGTAGCTGTTATGCGACTTGTGAGTGATCGCTTCGCGTCGCCTGTCGAACCAGAAAGTTCGTGTCGCACCCTGGAAATTGCAGTATTGGGGTGCTGTGATTGGTCGGGGCATACCAAACCGAATGGGGCCAGACGCTTTTCTCGGTGCCCAGGTCTACCTCAGGGTGGATTCCACAGTGAGTGTCAGACCCGAGGTCGACCCGCGGCTGAAGGAGCCGCGGGTTGTCACAACCTAACTGCGGGTTTTGTTTTCTTGACGGTGTAGCGGCTGCAAAGTCACCAACTGTCGTAAGGGAAGGGTTGCGACTATACTAACCGAACTTTGCGAGTCCACCAGAAACTTTCGAAGTTATGATTGGTGAAAAATAATTTGCGCGACATTGTTAGTTGTTCGGCTTGACAGCTGACTGGCTGGAGCCCTCAGTTTTTCGCAAGACCCGAGGCAATTTTTTCCAGCCTCGGATCTTCCCGCTAGACCCTCGGGTCTAACACTCGCTGCGGAATCGCCCTCATTTGTTTCCGACGTTTATATACCGTAACAAGGTTCTCCGATTCTCAGCAAGCTTGTGGATGATTTTTAACTCCAAGTCAGCTGAGGATTACCACCAGGATCAAACTGTAGCGGTTGAAATCACGACTGATGTTCCCTTCCACTGCCCTGATTTTTTTCCCCACAAACTGTCTGCCAGAAGTCCAGCGGTTCCAGACAAGAACCCCAACGAGTCGCGTCGCGGCTCCCATCTTGGCGGCGAAATGTGCGGGTTCCTATCGCAAAATTGGATGCCCTCCAGTCGGTGGGCCAGAGAGGGACAGAAACAGAACCACTGGAGAATGTTCCAGTTTTCCGCGAGGTCCGAGCAGCGGGAGGGAGACACCCGCCCTTGAGATTTGCAAATTCCATGAGCTATGGCGAAGTGAAGGGGCCAGGCACGGGGAGACACTGCCTTGAGACGAGAGAGACTGCGAAGAACCGAAGAACGGCAAGAACGGTAAGCTAGGAGTCAAGAAAACAAGAACGCGGGCGTACAGGAAATAGAAGAGATCATTCGGCTTTGACCGCAGCCTTCCGCCTTATCGCTTTGCAGAACTCCGTGCTCTGCCATTTTCTAGCCGCGAACTGCATGCGCGGTCGTTTGCGGGCGGTTTGGCTGCTAGACCATTACTCGGCTCTCACGTCCGTCTCAAAGTGATAACCCGTTGCATTTCAACCTCCGTCTCTGGATTGCATTCCCGTAGTTCTCCCTTCTGAGCCCTAGTGTCCCCCTCTGATCGGACAAGTCCCGGTAGCTTCTCGTAGACTTGAGCCGGGGAGTTGCGAAAAACGGCGCCTAAGTCGACGAAACTCGAACGAAACTCGCGAAGCAGCAGAAGCAGCAGCAGCAGCCTTTCCACCTCGGACGCGTAGCCACTGTCTCCCAGTCCGCTCACCGGACGGCTATCCGCATCCACCAAACTACCCTAGACTCGCGAGACGACGGTGACCTTGTGCTCACCACGGAGACACACGTCGCTTCCGACTCGTCCTGCCCGATTCGTTCTGCCCGACTCGTTCTGCCCGATCCGTGCGTGCCTGAAGATACACGCGTACGCACTCGTCAGACCTCGCAAAAGCGAGAACCTTATCCTATCCCGCCCGCCTGCCAGCTCGAAACGTCTCCATTGCACTCGCCCATCGCGCTAGTAGCGGCTGGCCAGCCCTTAGCTCGCTCCGTCCGTATATTCCCTGTTCCCGCCACGAACATTCCACTGAACGCGACGTGGAGCACGGCTCGATCTCTCTAGCGCGTGCGCGCTTAGCAGGTCGTTGGGCAGCAAGTGGGTCGCAGAGCCAGCAAGTGGGCTTTTGAAGGGTTCGAACCCCGCGTGCTTGAGTGCTGGGTTTGGAGCTCTTTCGAAGGCCATCTTCGACCCAACGGACAAGGAATGAGAACAACGCGCGAACTACGAGATCGCCGCGTGCGGTCAGGCCAGCCTTTCTATCATCCAATGGCGTTCTCGTCGCAGTCGTCGCCGTCGTCGTCGTTGTCGCCGAAGCTGGTAACCACAGTCGCAGTGATCGCAGCAATGCTGGTCGCATCGACCCTATCGGTGCCAGGAGCACTGGGCGACGAGACGGCGACCGCTCTCAGCACCACCCAGAAAAGCCCTACCCCGGTTGCGACCGTTCCTAAAGGGGCGACGACTCCGAGTGCGACTCCTCAAAAAGCCGCGACTCCGGTTGCTGCCTTGGTGCCGTCGCCACGAGCACGTAAGTTTCGCGGAGCTTGCCATACCATACCGCACGAAAGTATTCCGGGTTACACATTTCTTGAGTCGTATGTATTGCACGTTCTCGCCCTCGGCCCTTACTGCTTCCCCCACCGCCGCATTTCCCCTCGGTCTCCCCCACATTCTTTCGAATCCGCCTTTCCCTCCAATCATCATTATCGAAACCCAATGCGATCAATTTCTCGACCATTCGCCCACCATCCCCCGACCATTCCCCGACCATTCCCATTCCCCGGCCAACCCCGCACTATCCCTTCCCTTCTCCCCCTCTCCCTCCAGCGAAATGCGACTATACGGCTGGCAGGTGGATCCTGGGTGCGGGTTACCCGCACTACTCGGGCAACCCCGCGGCGACGAATTTCTGCCCGTTCATCCGCGCGTCGTACAACTGCCAGCGCAACGGGCGGCCGGACTCGCTGTACCAGCAGCTGCAGTGGAAGCCCAGGGCGTGCGACATGGAGTACTTTAACGCGGACGGATTCGCTAAGATGATGAAGAACAAGGTGGGTTGGGTGGGTCGCCGGATGGGCTTCGCGTGGGAAGCACAAGGGGGACTGGTGCGAGAGACTGGTGCGAAGGTGGGGTGGTGGGGCGGGTAATGGATCGGGGGAAGCACAAGGGAGATCGGTGCGGAAAGAGGGAGCGGGAAGAATAAGGTACTACGGTAGGTGGCTGTTGGCCCACTTCCCTCTCCCCCACCCCCCCCGTCCTCCGCGACTTTCCCCAACTTCCCCCCTTTCCGTATCCGCCCCATCCCTCTCCATGATTTGATATTTCCCCTCTCCCCCCCTCCAACACTCCCCCCCCACCCGGACCCCGCGCCGGGCAGCGCATGTAACTGGTGGGTGACTCCATCATGGGCAATCTGTAGGAGACGCTGCTGCTCTTTCCCTCCGCCCGTCCTCTCCTCAATACTTTTTCTTCTCTGCGGTCTCTCCTTCCCGCTTCCGCCTTCCCCATCCCCCCCCCGTCTCCTCCTCTTACCCCCCCCCCCACTTCTCCCCCAATGGCAGCGCATGCTGCTGGTGGGCGACTCCATCATGGGCAACCTGTACGAGTCGCTGCTGTGCTCCATACACACGGGCGGGCACCAGGCGGAGGTAAGGCGGAAGGGGGAAAGTGGGGAAGGGGGGAAGCGGGGAGAGGGAAGATGGGGCGAGGGGGAGCGCGAGAGCGGGAGGGAGAAAGAGATTTGAACGGGGATTAGGAAAGGGGGCAAAACGGCGGGGGGGGCGGGTTTTAGTTTCTTATGCATTGCCCTTGCATGACGGTGTTCCCCTTCTAGCTACGAAACCCCGTCCTTCAACCTAAGCCTCGCCTACTTCTTCTTGCCACACCCCTCTGAAACCCCTCTGAAACCCCCCTCAACCCCTCTGCACCCCTCTTCTCCCCCCAGCGCGGGCACAAGCCGCTGAGCAGCGTGAAGGCGATGCACTTCCCGTCGTTCAACATGAGCCTCGCCTACTTCTTCTCGCCCTACCTCACGGACGCATTCAAGCAGCAGGCCAATGGCAGCACGCGCGGCGGCTCGCACGGCTACGTGGTGAACGTCACGTCGGTGCATCCGACGGTGGTGCGCCTGCTCCCGGCTTATGACGTGGTGGTGTTTTCGTCGGGCACCTGGTGGCTGCAGAATGTGCCCGGGAGGAAGCGGCCGAATACTTTTATGGTGAACGGGGTGGTGCAGCAGAGTATAACGAATATCGAGGCGTTCAAAATGGGGTTGAAGGCTCTGGCGTATCACGTGAAGCTGACGAATTACTCGGGGATTCCGTTTTTCCTGACGTTTAATCCCAAGCACGGGCCCGTCCTGCTCACGGCACGGAGGGACGGGGCGTGCGGCGCAGTGCAGCCCATCGGGCCCAAGGGCGCGAACAAATGGTACCAGTCGATACAGACAGCGGAGGAGTACTTCAAGATGCAGCGGCGCGTCCTGACGAGCAGCAGCAACATGCGCGTTGTGAAGGTAACGAGGATGTCTGAAATGAGGCCCGAGGGGCACCTGGGCATGTGGTGGTTGAAGAGAGATAAGGCGAATCTTACCCAGGTGTTAGCAACGCCGGATCTGGGAGACTGCACCCACTGGTGCCTGCCTGGCGTGCCGGATGCCTGGCTAGACGTCATCTATGCGTACATGCGCCTAGAGCCTGTGCTCAATCCAGGCAGGTGATTGAAAATTGAGAGATGGATGGGCGGGTAATAGTGGTTGAGGGTGTACGGTAGTTAGTGGTGTGTCGCTGCTGGGCGTGTAGGTGTTGTTGGGTTGGGTGCTGCTAACTTGGCAGTATTAGAGGGGTTCGGTTAGGGAGGACACATGCATAGGATGGGGTTCTAGGGAGAAGGTGTATGGGCTGTGGTGAATGTGTAGTGTAGATGAAAAAGACTTGCATGTGGGCATAATGTTGGATGATGACATGACAAGGCTCAAAACTTGCAGTAGGAAGTGAAGGCAACCTGCAAGTCTGGGAAGTAAGGATCCATCCATACAAGACGGTTTCTAACGGGCTTACAAGTTTACAGCTGTTCTTCGGCATCTGCTTAAGTGCCGCATAGTGTGAAGTCGTTTGGCGTAGCCAACATTATTATCGGTTCTTATTCTGACCATTTTTAAGGGCTCCTTTAGGAAAAGATATAACGAAACATGATTATGTAAGAAACATAATAAGTTCATTGTCTGATGTATTCTGTTCCGCACAGTCGTACAGCCAAGTTTGCCAAAGCGAGTACGTACGACTACTACAATTCACAATGGCACGCCCGATCATTCCAAGGTTCGCTCAGGAATTCGATCTGGAGGCTCGAGGAGGAATATACAAGCTGGCTGTGTCTTATCCGAAGGCTGGTCCGTCCGTGATCATCGCTTGACGGTCCGCGCTCTTCCGCTGGTGGGTAAGGGACTTCCGCGGGATTTTCAGGAGTCTATTTTCGCAGGGCCTTAGGCGTCCTCTGGATACCAGCAAGGCGTTTTCCGGATGCCACCGCGTCGCTGGTGCATCACGTAACCGGGGTTTCCTTAAGGCGCGCTGATAACTCTCTCGCGCGGTCCTACTCCCGAGGTTACCTATGGCCACGTGTGTTGGAATATTCGTGCTGTCTGATGAGGTCCTTACTAGTATCAGATGAGTTGGTTTTCCACTCCTGCTGCTTCCCAGTGTCAGCTCTTTCTCTTTCCCGTCCGTCTATTTAGGCCCTTCCGTTCGTCGACTGACGTTCGCTTGGCCGTTCGTCCAGCTAATGATTTGTTTTCGTGTACGCGGAGGGGGTGGGATGAGATGAGACCCTTGCACGCGCAGTGTCGCCTTGTGTCTTTCCCGCCTTGTGTCGCTTACATCCCCTTCAACGCTCGCACGACGTTAACTCTCTCTCTGTTTCCTTGTGACGCCCATTCGCCATGTGACCCGTAACCCTGACTGACTGTCATGCCCCCCCCCCCCCCCCCCCAACCCCACCCCCTTCTCTCCCTCCCCTCCCTTTCCTCCCCCCTCTCCCCCTCATTCCCCCCACAACTCCCCTAACTGCCCCCCCGCCCTCACATCCCACACGATTCTCACACTTTTCATACGCTCTCTTTCTCTCATTCCCCTTCGTAAGGCTTCCTTCTTCCTTCCCCTGCTGACCTTACTTCCCTGCTCCCCCACACACTCATCGACCACCTCCCCTCTCCCCGTCTCTCCAACTCTTTGCCTCAGGCATGGGGGTGGGCGCCACTATAGTGCGACAGGAGCGGGTGGTGGGGATCGCGAGTGGCGTGGGCGCAGCAGCGGCCGCGTATTGGGGCTGTAAGCTCGCCATCTGGCGAAGCACGGCCACCACTGGGAGAGCTATAGCCAATCAGAGCGCTCCACCTGCCCCTCCTCTGCTGGAGGTGAGTCAGATGAGACCTGTGGGTGGCTGCTTGCTTGTCTGGCTAGTTGGAAATGTTGTGTGTGTGCGTGTGTGTGTGTGTGTGTGTGTGTGTGTGTGTGTGTGTGTGTGTGTTTCGTGAATGCTTCTGAGTAATTTCGAATGCTTCTGAGTAATTCTGAATGCTTCTGAGTAATTCTGAATGCTTCTGAGTAATTCTGAATGCCTCTGAGTAATTCTGAATGCTTCTGAATGATTCTGAATGCTTATGAGGGCTTTAGGAAGACGTTGGGCTTGGCGGACTTGCTGCCATGTCACCTAGTGAGAGCCGTGAACCAATGGGATTATATACACACAAGCCCAAGTCACACACGATCTCTATCATGGCTTGTAATCTCCGACACCTGCGGGACTCCTTCTGGGCTGCATGGGTTGCTACTGGACTTGCGCGATCCTTTGGCAACTGTAGGGTCAGCACGACTCACTAGCAGCATCGCACCCTCTCTTGAAGGATCCCAGCGTGCTCCATCCTCATCCCTTCATTTCCCCCCTCTTCCCCCCACCCCCCCCTTTCCCCCCCTCCCCCCTCTTCCCTCGGCTCCTCCCCACTCCGTTATTCTCCCCACCCTCTTCTCCTGTTTCCCGCCTTCCTTTCTCCAGCCATCTACTCCGTTGTTTGGGCCGTCCTTCAGGCAGAGCGTGGTTCGGTCCTGGAACACTGCAGTTGACTCCTCTCTTGGTGCGCTAGCAGCTGCTCTCAGCCGACACGGCTGGTGATCCAACCAGGAGGGGTGAATGGAAGAGGGACGCGTCATGCGTGTACACGAAGACTGCTAATTGTGACACATTTTAAATGACGTTTAGGAATGAGTTATTTGGACTGGACAGTGCACATTGAGGTGTGCACATGGCTGACAGATTTGTGGGTTATGGCATGTACCATGGTCAGTGAGTCATGTAGTGAAGTGTACATTTATTTTACTATACATTGGTTCGTGTGACACTTTCATTTCAAGGCGAAAGGGAGGTTGTTACAGGACGGTTTTTGCGGAGCAAGACCAGAAACCTCCTTGCCCAAGCGGTGGCCTTCAAAACCTTGCACAGACCCCAAACCCGGTTTCTCGTTAGCCTATGATCTGGTGCTGCTCCAGTCGGCCTTGGTCCAATCAACTCTCAGATATTACCTTACCTGAGGAATTGTCATAGCACTGCCTCCTCTTCCCTGCACACCTAGTCTTGTCCCTCTCCGATAACTGCCTACCGCCATGCAAAACCCCTGGCCGCCCCCGCAAGGGCCGATGATGTCCGCTCCCCCGCCCAACGCGCAGCCATATCCGAGCCAGCTTCCGAGCCAGCCCCCGAACCAGATGTACGGGGCTCCTTACCAGACTGCAAACGGAGGTTCGGCCGCAGGATTCCCAGGGCCGGGCGGAATCGGCGCGCAGTACCCTGCAGGGCAACCTCCCGGTATCGGCGCGCAGTGGAATAGCGGGGCCCCGGCCACTTATGGATCTCCCGCTGGCGCTGCGACGACTACAGGATGGTCCTCTGGACCGCCGCCTATGGTGGGTATTTTAAAGACGTCCTTAGACTATCAGGAGAGGCAAGACGTTCGCGGAGCGACGAAGTGCTGGCGTTACTCGGCGCTATGGCAGGTAACGTGTTTCCAAAACGCGAATTTTCGGCTTGGGCATCGTGAATACTGGAATTCGCATCGCAAGGTTAGGCGATCATAGCCTGGGATAATCGAGCTAGGCGGTGGTCAGAGGAAAGGGGGGGTCGTCGAAGGCACCCGATTTTTGAGGCGCGTAAAAAAGCAAGGGTAGGCGGGCGTAGCTTGAGGTCAGAGCGGCGGGGGGGTCGACACCGCGAGGGTCGATATTTAGCTCCCTGCAGCGCTCCTTTTCCCCTGCCTCAAATGACGAGCACAACTCTTCGCGATCTCATTGAATCCTCCCTACTCCTTGCAAATTTTCCTTCCAGGGTTCGTCCATGGGGGGCGCGCCTGGCTCTGCGCCTGGTGCCGCGCCTGGTGCGCCGTTCCCCCCCCCTTACCCTTCACCCGGAAATGCTCCCCAGAGCCAGCAGCGCTGGCAGCCACAGCAGCAGCCACAGCAGCAACAGCAGCAACAGCCATTTTACCAGCAACAACAGCAGCAGCCACAGCAACAGCAGCCGCAGCAGCAGCAGCTTCAGCCACCACCACAACAGCAGCAGCAGCAGTGGCAGAATCCGCCTCCGCCACTCACTAGTCCCGGTGCCCCACCCGTTGCCAGCCCTCAGAGCAAAGCCGTAGGGCCAAACCCGAACGCCGCTCCTCCTCAGTACCAGCAGCAGCAGCAGCAACGGCCACAGCAGCAGCAGCCATTTCACCAGCAGCAGCCGCCACCGCAGCAGCAGTATCAGCCTCCCCAGTCCTACCCTCCCCGTCAACCCCCTCCATCTGCGTCTCCGCTTCCCAAATCCAACGCGCCTTCTTTCCCTTACCCTGCCATGCAACCTCCGTACCAAGTGCAACAGCAGCAGCAACAGCAGCAGCAAATGCAACCTATACTCTCCACTCCTGCACGTCCTCCCCAACAATCCTTCCCCCCACCTTCTTCCCCCTACCCCCCCGCCCCAGCCCCCTTGCCCTCGCCTCAAGCTCCCATCCCCCCCTTTAACCGCCCCCCTGCGCCCTACCCCCCAAACCACTCTTTTCCGCAAAACCCTCCTTATCCCCCAAACCCTGCGTTTGCCCCTCCGCCCATGCGCCCCCCTCCTTCCCCGATTGGCGGAGGGCCCCCCCATTCTCCCGCTGCCCCTCCCTCCCCCGGTGCCCCTGGTGCGCTGAATTTGGGGAATGGGCAGCCAGGGCGGGGTGGAATGGGGAGGGCGGAGGTGGGCAGGGGAGGAGGCGGGGGAGGGAGAGGAGGGTGGGGGGATGGGGAACGGGGAGGAGGGAGAGGGGGCGGAGCGAGGGGAAGGGGCGGGGAAAGAAGTTGGGGTGGCGGTAGAGGAGGGGAGGGGCGGGGATTCGGGGACGGAAGAGGTGGGGGGAGAGAGGGGAGGGGGAGAGGGCCGGGGGGGAGGTGGGGCGGACGTGGCGGGTGGGGGGAGGGGAGGCGGGATGGGGAGGGAAGAGGGAGAATGGGGGGGAGAATGGGGGGCGATAGAATGAATGGTGGTTACCACCAGAATCAAGGTATCCACGCGGCACCATCATCGTCGTCGTCATCACCATCAGCATCACTAGCACCATCATCACCACAAGCACCCCCCGGAGTAGCAGCCCTCCCACCTTCACCAGCATCAGCATCCGCATCAGCAGCAGCAGCAGCAGCAGCAGGCGCAGCAGCAGCAGGAGCTGGAGGAGGAGCAGCGACAACGGTAGGAACAGTAGCAGCAGCCGGGGCAGCAGGGGCAGCAGGAGCAGCAGTAGCTGCGTCTCCGTTCGCGTGTGCACCGTGTGACCGGTCGTTCTCTTCTCGGGACTTCCTCACAGCGCATCTGGGCACGCATGAGAGCTGCGACTCGCCCGGATGCTCCTTCTCCGCATGCGGTAACCCACTCTCTACACTATCCCTGCTCTCCCCACACTCCCCGCACTTCCCGGCACTCGCCACACTCCCCCCTCGGCTACTCCTCCGCTTTGTGCTTAACCCGCTTCCATTCCTTTCGCACTTTTAAGCCTCTCCCCTCTGTTCTGCCGCCCCCCTGCATCCTCCCCCATTTCCCCTCGTCCTACTGTTCTTTCACAGGCGCTGTAACTATCAATGTCCCTTTAGTAAGCATGACTGTACACTCATGTGCACCTAAGCACACTCATGTCACTCACAGCACTCCCTGATGTCCATATTTGCTTTTGTCCCCTGTCTGCTGGCATGGCTGCGGTTATGGGCATGTCATGGGCATGTCATGGGCATGTCATGGGCATGTCATGGGCATGTCATGGGCATGTTATGGGCATGTTATGGGCATGTCATGGGCATGTCATGGGCATGTTATGGGCATGTTATGGGCATGTCATGGGCATGTCATGGGCATGTTATGGGCATGTTATGGGCATGTCATGGGCATGTCATGGGCATGTCATGGGCATGTCATGGGCATGTCATGGGCATGTCATGGGCATGTTATGGGCATGTTATGGGCATGTCATGGGCATACATTCCGTGGCATGACGTCGGTCTGGGATGGTCGCGTGTACCATGACATGTGGCGTGGTATGTGTATGGCATGGCATGTGCCATGAACGGCATGTCATGGCATGGCATGTGGCATGTGGCATGGCAGGGCGGGCTCTCAAGGACCACAAGGCATCCGTCCACGCCACGCCTTCCTCTGCCCGGCTGAAAAGGTGAGCCCACTCAATCCAGGGCTGTTGTGTTATGGCTTGGAAGTGTGGTCGTGCGGCTGAATCACCATGCTCGCACCATGCTCACACCATGCTCGCACCATGCTCACACCACGCTCGCACCAAGCCCTGCACTGCCACTACGTCTTACCCAGGAGTGTGCTGCCTTCCCTGCTTCTTCTCCTGTCCCTTCCCCTTCCCCACCCGTCCTTCCTTCCCCACGTTCATAACCCTGAGTGGGTAGTCTTTCCTCTCCCGCCGACCATTTGCTCCCTTTGTGCCCCACCCACCACACCACCCACCCAACGCACCACCACCCCGCCCCCCACCAGGGCGTTGGAGTACCACAAGGAGAGCCCCGAGGAGCAGCCCTGCCCACCATATGTGCCCCACTCATCATACACCCACCCATCACACCCCCCACCCATCACACCCCGCAACCATCACACCCCCCACCCATCACACCTCCCACCCCCTTGCGCCCACCAGACCATTGGAGTACAGCAGGGAGAGCCCCGAGCAGCTGGCCAAGTTGGTGGAGTCGTCATTCCTCTCTCCCCCTTACCACTTGTGCCCCACCCACCCACCCGTTGTCACTCCTCCCACCCCACACCTCCTCCCTCCCAACCCCCACCAGAGCGTTGGAGTACCGCAAGAAGGAGAGCCCCGAGCAGCTGGCCAAGTGGGTGGAGGAGCGCCGCAGAAACTTCCCCACTGCCAGCAACGTGCAGCGCAAGGTGGGGGGGGGGGCATGGGGGAAGAGGTGGGGGGGGGGCTGGGTGGTATGGGTGATTGATCGGGGATCGGGGGGGTGATCGCTGAGAGGGCTGTTGTTGGGGATAAGGGGAGGGAGATAGAATGGGGGGGATTGGGGGTTTGGTAGGGGGCAAAGGAGTGTGTCGAGTGGGAAGTATAGGGTGCGGGATTTTTTCTATTGTTCTGCTGTAAAGTGGCCTCTTAAGCTTTGGGCGAGGTTGTGTGTGTGTGTGTGTGTGTGTGTGTGTGTGTGTGTGTGTGTGTGTTTGTGTACGTGTGTGTGTGGTGTGGTGTTTGTGGCATGTGGCATGTTTGGCATGTGTCTATGTGTGTCTATGTGTGGCATGTGTGGCATGCGTGGCATGCGTGGCATGTGTGGCATGTGTGGCATGTGTGGCATGTGTGGCGTGCAGGAGGAGGAGGCCAGGAAGCGCAAGGAGAGGGGCGAGCTGGTGGATGAGGAACGCAGATTGAGACAACAGGTACCACCTCTCCCTTCCTCTCCCGTCCTCTCCCTTCCTCTCCCTCCTCTCCCGACTTCTCCCTCTCATCTTCGTGCCTTCCACGACTTCCCACCTCTCCCCCTTTCGTTTCCTGCTCTGTCTCTCCCCGCTCTTCCGCTCCCCCCCCTCGCCCGCGTGCTTCTCCTTCTCTATCCGATGCTCGACTTCTTCTCTGCCTCATCCCCTCCCTGCTCCTTCGCGATTTGCTGCCAGGCAAACACTGAATCTCTTACCAACTCCTCACCATCCCTTCCTCCACTCCCCCACATCTCTTACCTCCACTCCGCGATCCCCCCTTCGTCTCGGCCCTCTAGTCGCTCTGCCCCTCCAATCGCTCTGCCCCTCTAATCGCTCTGCCCCTCTAATCGCTCTGCCCCTCTAATCGCTCTGCCCCTCTCACCGCTCTGCCCCTCTCACCGCTCTTCACCCTCTCCTATTCTGTCGCTCTCCCCTCTCTCTCTACCAAAACTCTTTTCATTCTAATCCTCTCTATTCCTTTCTGCCAGCGCCTAAGGGAGGTGTTGGCCCTTCAAGCCAATCTGGGCCTGCCCATTTGCGAAGTACCGACCTATCTGCTAAGGGACAACTCGGACAGAGGAGGGAGGGGAAGGGGAGGGGGCAGGGAGGGATGGGAGGAGAGAGGGGGGAGAGGAGGGAGAGGAGGGCGTGGATGGAAGGAGGAGTGGAGGAGGAGAGGGAGTGGAGGGATGGGTATGCAAGGGAGGGGGCATTGTGTGTGGGAGTGGGTGAGAATAAGTGAAGAGAGTGAGGGAGGAGGGGCTTGTGATTTGAAGGAGATTAGTACAGTGCGGAAGGGGTGTGGGGAGGAGGGGGAGGGTGGGGGTGGTACGGAGGAGAAAGAGGGAATGGAGGGGGGGGTGGAGGGGGAGGAAGTGGGTGAGGGAGGAGGAGAGGGGGCGGATGGGGAGGGAGCAGGGTGGGTTGGTGAGGGTGGAGAGGAGGTAATGGGACGGGCAAGAAAGGTGTCCAGAGCGAATGGTGCTGTGGATGTTAGTAGTGGTGGCGGTGCTGCTGCTGCTGCTGCTCCTGCAGGTGGTGGTGAGAAGGAGAACGGAGACGAGGAGAAGGAGGGGGACTTGATGAGGGGTTCTGAGGAAGAGAGTTTTGGAACACCAGAGGGGAGTGGCGACATGGCAGAGCAACAGCAGGGTGAGGATGAAGTGGAAGAATTTGGAATAGAGGGGGAGGAAGGGATTGACATGGGAGCAGAGGACGAGGAGGAGGGGGAGGAGGAAGAGGATGAGGAAGAGGCAGGCGTAGAGCGAGGAGAAGGGGGCGGAGGTGGAGGAGAGGTGGTGGTGGCAGGTGGGGATGAAGGGGCATGCGGCATGAGGAAGGATGGTTGCACTGGGGCTGTTTCCACTGCAGGGGCAACAGGGGCAATAGGGGCAACAGGGGCAACAGGGGCAATAGGAGCAAGTGCATCAGGCGAGGCAGCAGAGGTGGAGCCGTCAGAGAAGGACAAGATGATGTTGGAGGCAGCAGCACCAGTTGGTGATGGTGCCCCTGCTCCAACACCCGTGGCTGCTGCTGCTACTACTGCTACTGCTGCTGCATCTGCTGCCGCTGCATCAGCTGCTATTCCCGCTCTTCATGCTTCCCCGACGCCACTCACTGCTCCTCCCACTGTTATTCCTCCCGTTGCTGCAACAACTGCACAGCCCGGCTCGTCAGCTGAACCTGCGGGTGCCCACACTGAAAGCCCTGCCCCCTTGCCCCCCCAGCGCCCTGCGCGGACTGCCACCAAGCGCGTGTGCTCCTTCTTCCTGCGCGGGCACTGCAAGAAGGGCGCCCGCTGCACCTTCGCACACATTGGCGCCCACGACTGGCAGCAGCAGGCGCAATGGGAGGCGCAGGGGCAGGGCCAGGGGCAGGGGCAGGGGCAGTGGGAGCAGCAGGGGCAGATGGATGGACAGGGGCAGGGGCAAGGGCAAGGGCAGCATGGGGGGTGGCCGAACCAACGGCAGGAGAGGAACCAGGAGTATCCGAGCAACCAGAGCGACCGGGATAACAGGGACAACCAGGGCAATGCTCGGTCGCCGAGCCTGCTGGCGAAGCTGCTGGAGAAGGAGGTTCGGCGTGAGCGGAGCCACGTGCTGCAGGTGGTGCGGCTGGTGGTGAACAACGACTTCCTGCTCGCCCACCCCTACAAGCCACTGCTGCTCTTCCCGTGGGCGCAGGAGGAAGGGCGGGAGGGGCAGGGGCAGGGGCAGGGGCAGGGGCAGGGGCAGGGGCAGGGGCAAGGGGAGGAGAAGGGAGAGGGGCCAGAGCAGACGCAGGGGTAGGGGTAGGAAAAGGGGAAAGTGGGAAGGTGTTGGGGATTGGGCACGTGCGTGACTTGGATGGGCCACCTGTGTGGCTGGCTGCGCTAGTGTTGGTCCTCGCTCATGGGTTGAGGAAGCTAGGCAGGGAGGAAAGTGAGAGATGGAGAGAGGGAGAGGGGAGAGATCGAGAGGGAGCGAGAGTGGGGGAGAGAGGGAAGGGGCAACTAAGAGCCGGTATGCAGCTGGCGTGGTTGAACTAGAAGGGAAGAGGGGGCAGTGTTGCAACTTGGTTGGTAGAGAAGACTTTTGTTTGTGCTGAAGGGATGCGATGCGATGCAAGCACCATATTCTTGCCTAACGCCTCATCTAATCTCTGGTTCTTCTACCAAGGTGATTACCGCAGTAGTGGGTTTGTTGCTTCAACGGTACGGTACTCCAAGTGCAAGGAACATTTCGCAATTCGGATCTGTTTCGGCAATAGAGTGTCAACATATATTTGTAGTATATGTAATAGGCTAGATAGGTGCATGCTCATAGATAGTACAACTCGATATGACAAAACCACCCTGTATCACTCATTCTAGCTTATTGCGTTATTCTCAGATGGTATCACGCTAGGTTAGGTCCCCCTCCCCTCTTACGTTTCTGCCCCTAGCCCTAGCCCTAGCCCTAGCCTGTGTCCTAGCCATGCCCTAGCCCTAGCCGCGCCCGTGCAGCTCTGTCCGCGCCGACCCCGTCACTTCGCGCCGGCCCCGTTAATTCGTGCCGGCCCCGCTAGTTCGCGCCGGCTGTTAGGATTAAGGACGGAGTCTAGGTGAACTTAGGAGCTAGAATTACTCAAAATATAAATCCGAAATTCTGGACAGAAAAGTCGTCTTCACAAGAAACGACGTCGACGAAAAACTAGCCGTTGGAATGTCGCGAAACTTGGATATGTTGTAGCTCTTAATCTCAGCTACCGTTCCCAATTTGAATCACGTTGATTGATGAAGTATTCGCGACGCTATGGCTTTCGACGCACTAGGGGGTAAGCTGTAGGAGGAGAACTTAACTCAATCTCAAGAGTTCAAATCAAAGTTCAAGGATCTCACAAGGAATTAGAAGGAGCAAGAGAAAGGTTGGGATAGGAAGAGAGGGATGAGAGGGAAGGTCCCAAGAGAGTCCCCAACCAAGGAAACCCCATAAGCACAAAGATTCCCTCCCTATAGGAACCTCAACTTTGACCTTTGTCCCTTCCCAACCAATCCATCCAAGTTGGCCACCCTTGCCAACCTAGCTTGGTTGTTCCCAACCTATTTGCAGCTGTTACAGTAGAGTGACAAGTTTCCCCAACCCCAAAGGTCCCAACTCCATATAAAGTCACCCCACAACTTCACTTAGTAACCGCCGCAATTGTAACGCAAGCTCATGAACTTTGAATCTTCATAGCTTTCGCGTTGTTGCTCCAATTGAAGAGATTCTTGTTGCGTCGAAAAGATCTTCTCAAGATCTATCATCACAAATACCTGCTCAAACAAAATAACACATAACACATTCCCAAACTCCAGAACACACACCACACAAATGCTTGCACATTCAAACCACACATGCAAGTTGAAAACATGGGATGGGAGGCAGACAGAATGTGATAGCATATGATGACATCACACAACAATCTCCCCCTCTGGCTGCCAACCATCATCCACCATACCACATCTCAAGCATGCATACTCAATGCACACTCATCCCAGCAAGCTTCATGCCCTTCCAATGATCCGCCTCCGCCAGACGCTTGGTGAAAATATCTGCTGCCTGCTGATGGGTCTTCACTATCTCCAGCCGCACCTCCTTATCAAGGAGTCTCCTCACCCAATGCCACTTAGGCCTTATGTGTTTTGTCAGCCCATGCAGACAAGCATTCTTGGCGAGCTTCACAGCGGACTCATTGTCACAATGTCCATCTGCCGTATCTTCCATCCCAGGAGTGCAGCTATCGCTAACAGCACCCTCAGTGTTGTTCCTTTCCCCACAGGAGCAAACACCTCATCATAGTCCTTCCCCTTTGTCTGCTGAAACCCCCGTGCCACAAGCCTAGACTTGTAGCGGGTCAGCTCCCCTTCAGGTCCATACTTGTGCCTGTAGATCATCTTGGAAGTGATTGCCTTCTTTCCAGGAGGCAAGTCACACAGGTCCCATGTCTCGTTTTCAATCAGGGACCCGAACTCCTCATCCTCACTCGCCTTCCACTTCTCCCCATTTGGTCCATTCAAGGCCTCCTCTCGAGTCTTGGGCTCAGGGATTGGTGCCCAGTAGCAGTGAGCGATCTCATCTTCCTCAATCTGCTCAACCACACTCCCAGCCTGCACCACATTTGGCTTGCCTCTTCCCCCATAGGTCAGCCTCACCGGAGGGCGCACATCCCTCCTAGGTCGCTCAGGCGGGTGTGGAACTCGAGATGGAGACTCATGCTGCTGCTGCTGCTGCTCCTCAGCTGCTCCCCCTTCCTCAGTCACCCCAGACATCTCCTCCTCTGACACTGCAACCTCCACCTGTCTTGAAGGCTGCTGCAACTCATCTGCCTCCACAATGAGTGGTGTAGATGGAAGCTTCTGTTGCTGCTGCTTCCATTCCTTATAGTACAGGGACTCAAGAAACTTCACATCCCTTGACACTGTCAGCTTCTGGGTGGTCAGGTCCCATAGCAGCCACCCCTTGTGATCCTTTGCAATCCCCAAGTGCACACCCCATCTTCCAGAAGCCTCCAACTTCCCCCTTTTCTCCTTGGGCACATGAAACACCACCATGCACCCAAATGCCCTCAGCATGTTCACCGCTGGAGCACTCCCATACCACTTGACATATGGGATCCACTCCTTATCTCCAACTGTAGCCAGCACCCTATTCTTCACAAGGGCGACCTGCCTCAGTGCAGACACCCAAAACGGATCAGGCAGCCCTGCACGCCCAAGGAGAGTGCGTGCCCCCTCCTGCAGGGTCCTGTTGAACCTCTCAGCCACGCCATTCTGCTGCGGGTTGTAGGGCACTGTCAGTTGATGCTGGATCCCCTTCCTCTTCAACTCCCCCTCAAAATCAGCTCCAATGAACTCCCCACCATTGTCACTACGGATCACCTTCACCTTGTGTCCGCATTCCCTCTGAGCTCTCGGCATCCACTCCTTAAGGACAGCCGCTGCCACCTCCCCCTTGCTGTTCAAAGGGTAAACCCACACTGCTCGAGTGTGGTCATCCACAATTGTCAAGAAATAGCGGCTGCCTGAGAGGGAAGGGGCTCTTGTGGGCCCCACCACATCCATGTGCACAAGTGCAAGTGGGGTCTTGGCTGGTCCTGTAGTGCTGTTGAAGGGGAACTTGGAGAACTTGGTCTCCAAGCATGTAGGGCAGCTCCCAATCTCCTTCACTCCCCCTTTCACCTCCAAGCCTTTCAGGCTCCCATCCTTTACCAACTTCTGTAGCATAGGGAAGTTCACATGACACAGCCTCTCATGCCATGTCTCCCAATCGGCCTCTCCACTCTTTGATGAAGCCTTAGCCCATGCCGCACTCGCATCCACACCAGCAAGCACCTCACCATGTTCTGCTGCTGCTGCACTTTCTTGACTGCTTCCAGGACCCCATCAGTTGGTGCAGTTGCATCTCCTCCTGCTGTTGCCTTTGCCGCTGCTGCCGTTGCTGCTGTTGGAGTCTTCCCATTCCATGGGATGATGGGCAGCTGCCACAGGTCCTTGATGCAACTGGTCTCCTCTTCCAGACTCCATAGCACCTTCTTCCCAAGCTTAGCACGGCAGCTGGTTGGTCCAAAGGTCACTTCGGCCTTGCTCTTCTGCAGTCGTCGCACAGAGAGAAGGTTAGCAGACAAGCCTTAACCAGCAGAACATTCCCAAGCCCCACAAGCTCCCCATTAGCTCCCTTAACCTTGGCATTTCCAACACCAATGACAGGGAGCAAAGCACCTGACGCTGCTGCCACATACTTGATCTTCCCAGGGGGTTTTACCTCATCAAGCAAATCTGCCCGTGGGGTCATGTGACTGGTGCAACCGAATCAATCACCCAGTGCGTGAGAGGGTGCATCACAACCTTTCCCACAGATCCCACATCACCCTCATGCCCATGCACATCCTCAACCATAAATACAACCAGGATAGGCATTACCTTGTGCACCTTCACCTTGTGCACCTGAGCCTTGCACAGCGCCACCTTGTGCGCGTTCACCACTGGCGGCTTCATGCCTGGAGGTGCCCATCCCTCCAGCCTGCTGAAGCACTTGAACCAAGGATGCCCAACCTTCTTGCAGTACCAGCACGTGCCCTCCATTCTGGTACTCCCCCTGCCACTAGAGCTCCCATGCCCCTCATTATAGTCACCTCGGCCTCTACCTCTGCCAAAGCTCCTCCCACGGCCTCGGCCTTTCCAACCCCCTCTTCCTCTGCCGCGCCCTGCAGCTCCATACCCCTCAGCAGTCTTAGTGGCAGCACCGCCTCCCACATGGCGTCTGCGGAAGTCCTCCTGCAGAATCTGCTGCCTTAGCCACTCAGGTGTCCATTGATCTTGCTGAGAGTTGAGGGTGGGGATGAGGTTATCCCACGAGTTGTCCAACACCGAGATGATCTTGGTGCACTGCTGCAGCTGAGATACACTGCTGCCCGCTGCTGCCATCCTTGCATAGGTGTCCTTGATCTTGTCAAGGACCGGCTTCACATCGTCCCCTGGTCGCATGGAGATGGCAGCAAGTTCCTTCTCGAGCACGATCACCATCAGGAGAGTGTTGGGCTGAATCACATCGCGTAGTAGTTTCCACGCCCTTGGACCCGAATCATCCGCTTCCACAAGATCCTTGATGTGCTCGAACATCTCCTTGTTGACCGATTGAAGGATGAGGTCGAAAAGCACCGTGCTTTTCTCAATCCACCGTTCACGTGCTTCGCCTTCTTCCGGCATCTTCTCTTCCCCAACAGCAATCTTCAGTAGCTTGTAGCGTTTGAAGGCACTTCTCATCCGTCCGCTCCATTCCTCATAGTTGGAGCCATCCAAAGCTTCAACTTTTGATGGCGGCGGTCACTTGTCTTCTCAGCTACAGCTCCTCTTCCATTAGCATCTCCTCCTCTCTCATTCATCTTCTCCTTGAGAAATGACGAATTTCAGCCCCCCTTTGCTGTCCACACTCAGCTCCCTCGATATTTTCACAAGTGTCGGCGTCCACGAAATTTCGGCAGAGTTTCCCTTAGCGGAAGACACATCCAACCTTTAGAACACCACTTAGGCACACCCACAGGCCATGGTGGGTCTAGAAGGGTCTTCACACTTCTGTAGACTCCTCTCAACGTCCTTAATACAGCTCTGATACCACTTGTTAGGATTAAGGACGGAGTCTAGGTGAACTTAGGAGCTAGAATTACTCAAAATATAAATCCGAAATTCTGGACAGAAAAGTCGTCTTCACAAGAAACGACGTCGACGAAAAACTAGCCGTTGGAATGTCGCGAAACTTGGATATGTTGTAGCTCTTAATCTCAGCTACCGTTCCCAATTTGAATCACGTTGATTGATGAAGTATTCGCGACGCTATGGCTTTCGACGCACTAGGGGGTAAGCTGTAGGAGGAGAACTTAACTCAATCTCAAGAGTTCAATCAAAGTTCAAGAATCTCACAAGGAATTAGAAGGAGCAAGAGAAAGGTTGGGATAGGAAGAGAGGGATGAGAGGGAAGGTCCCAAGAGAGTCCCCAACCAAGGAAACCCCATAAGCACAAAGATTCCCTCCCTATAGGAACCTCAACTTTGACCTTTGTCCCTTCCCAACCAATCCATCCAAGTTGGCCACCCTTGCCAACCTAGCTTGGTTGTTCCCAACCTATTTGCAGCTGTTACAGTAGAGTGACAAGTTTCCCCAACCCCAAAGGTCCCAACTCCATATAAAGTCACCCCACAACTTCACTTAGTAACCGCCGCAATTGTAACGCAAGCTCATGAACTTTGAATCTTCATAGCTTTCGCGTTGTTGCTCCAATTGAAGAGATTCTTGTTGCGTCGAAAAGATCTTCTCAAGATCTATCATCACAAATACCTGCTCAAACAAAATAACACATAACACATTCCCAAACTCCAGAACACACACCACACAAATGCTTGCACATTCAAACCACACATGCAAGTTGAAAACATGGGATGGGAGGCAGACAGAATGTGATAGCATATGATGACATCACACAAACAGCAGCATCTTGCAAGATGAGCTCAAACAGACCATCGATTTTTTCAAGCTTTCCCCCTCAGAGGTCATTTTCGAGCACGACAATGATCCCAAGCACAGGTCTCGTCTGGTCCAAGAGTGGCTTGGGGAGCAGGAGTACGCAGTGCTGGAATGGCCGTCGTGCTCCCCGGACCTTAACCCGATTGAGCACCTGTGGGCACACTTGAAAAGGCAGCTGGGGAAGTACGAAAAGCCGCCAAGTGGAATGCTGGAGCTGTGGGAGAGGGTGCAGGAGGAATGGGACAAGCTACCGGCAGAGGTGTGTGCAAACCTGATCGACAGCCTGCCGAGGAGGATCAAGGCAGTGATTCGGGCAAAGGGACGCTGGACTAGGTACTAGTTTTCACAGAATCTAGTATGCTACCAGTTTTCGGTACAAATTGTCCGGATGTTATCCTATGCTATGCTTAGGTGTTTAAGGACCATGTGTGGTACTACTTTGGTGTTTGTCAACACGAGTGAGTGCTCTAATTGAACTTCTCAGCGTGTATGCACACCATACATTAAGGCTTAATGTTTACATCGCTGCATTTATCAAAATCCCAAAAAAGGCTGAACATGTGGACAATTTATTCCGCCACTGTATGTCTCCTGACCCGATGCCCTCGTCCCACTTCTGGTCTTGCCGTCCCTCTCGTGCTTGTCCCATGTCTCCTGTCCAGCGCTCTCACCCTGTGTTGCTTCATTCTCATGCGTCTCGTCCTCCCCTCCTCCCGTCGCCTCCTCCGTCGTCGCCGGTTGTTGCTCCGCCTCCCCTGCTTGACTTCCTCCATACAGCTAGTCCCCTTGTTTCTCATTTCCTCGCCTCTCTTGTTACAGACCCGTCAGTTCCTGTCTCCTGTCTTGACGCTCTTCTCGCAACCATCGCTGACTTTGCCTCTACCCGCCGCCTTGACTACGCCACCCCTCTGGTCTGTGACCCTGCCCATCCTCCGTCCGTCGGGGGTGCTACTGCCCTTGGTAGTGACGTCATGGAGGACCGGCGGTATGAGCTAGCTTTCGTGTACGAGGCCCGCCTCATCTCTACTCCATGTTGCTAGTCCCTGAGGGTGACCCAGACGCCCTTGGCATCCCGACCCCTCCCACTTACGCTGAGGCGACCTCGGGACCCCGAGCCTCTCGGTGGATAGCTGCCATGGACGCAGAGATGGCATCTTGGAGGTCAACCGGTACCTACGTTGACGTAGTTCCCCCATCTGGGGTGAACGTAGTCGATGGCCGGTGGCCAGGTCCTTCAGAGAATCGGTTTTCAGTTTTCCTCCGCACAGCGCACACCTCTGCCAGTAGATCACAAGCTCTCAGCTCCAGTCCATGAGGAGTCAGAGCTGGTGGGTTGCTACATGTACTTGATGACTTGCACTCGTCCAGATCTCGCATACACTCTTAGCATCCTGGCTCGCTTTGTGGCCACAGGCAGACACCGACCACAGTACAGGTCACCCGCTAAGAGGGTTTGCGTTATCTAGCAAGTACATCGGGCATGAGGCTAGTGCTAGAAAGACGCATGCCTGTGGTCCGTACAGGGCACAGACAACGCTGAGAAGCTCAGGTCCCTCCCAAGGGCTAGTGCTTTAGCCCTGGTGCAGGCGTCATCTCGTTGAGGTCCACTCGCTCGTTGTGTGCTGCATAGTCTAGCTGTAAGGCTGAGATCTACGCTGGTTCCATGGCGGCACAGGAGCTCCACTGGCTGACTTTCTTGCTCACAAACTTAGGTGAGCGGCCTAGCTCTGCCCCAGTTCTGTACGCTGACAACAGGGCCATGATCCTCCTGTGTCACGAGACTCAACTGGAGGGCAGAACGAAGCACATTCAGCTGCGGTACTTCTTCCTGCGCAAGCTACAGCAGCGCCGCCAGGCCCGCGTAGTACACTTGGCCTCCGGTGCCAACACAGCTAATATCTTTACGAAGGCACTTGCGCCTAAAGATCATCAGCGGCACTGTGTACAGCTTGGTCTAGTTCCAGTAGCTTCTTACTTGTTAGGGCCCTGATGTAAACCTCCTCTTATATTATATTGACTTGCCTTGTGGCCAAGGTTGATGTTTCAAAAATGGGCACCCTTAGCCAACCCCCTTGAATATATATATATATATATATACATATATTTATATATATAAATTAAAATGAAAATGAAGGGCCTGTTGGTGCAACCCTATGGCTTGCACTCGGCTTGTCGTCCATGTTTGTGTGTATGTGCATGCATGGCATGTAATGACTTGTGATTCTATGTCATAGCTATCTAGTGCTTGTGTGTGTGTTTAAATGGTGTATCACAATATGGTTTGTGTCGGTCAAGACATTAGCGAGTTTTCACAACTCGCATCTCCAGTCGTCGTTTGCGCGTCGCATGTGCTTTCTCTATTTTGTCGAGTGTGAAGTGTCCATCTCATTGCAGGTGTGTGCAGCAAGTCCTCATCATCTCAAAAAGAATTGATCTTGCTGAACCAAGACCAAGAACTCAAGATTTCAAGCCCAAGGGACGTGGACAAATATTAAAATAGTGAAAAGAGTAATTCTACTTCAAGTAGTGTTATATTTCACTTGGTGTAGCCCCTTGTTGGGTTTGTTTCGAGTCTCCTCATGGTTGGGGACTCTGTGGTGGTGTACCACCAACTTGGACCGCGGCTCTTGGGGTATGTAGAGGCTGGGAACCATCCCTACCTCGAATTCTTCTTCCTAAGTTTTTTTTACTCCTAAGACTATAGTGGCTGCTGTACCTTCTGCCAGTCAAACCGCCATAGCTTCGTCAAATCTTCATGGAATGTTATGATTCAAATTGCTGCTGATAGGCAACAGCAACGCGCTCCAGATCCAATCTACAGATTACCGTTTAAGGCATACATCAGATCGGCATCAATATTTGAAGCTGTCTGACGGAATTCTGACTATGCACAATTTCTCTCATTTAAGGCACATCTGAGCCTATTGTGGTTATAAAAAGGGGTATCAGAGCCCCTTGGAGCCATTTCGACCATGCCTAGAACTGAGGAAGGGGGTGGCAGAGGTGCTGGAGGCAGAGAAGACGCCCAAGCACAACGTCAACACCAAGTTCCACCCGTTGCTCCTGTGCAACCTATCCTTGGCCCCTCTAGGGATGAGCCTAGAGTGTTTGGCCTTGACAAGTTCAACGGTGACAACTTTGCTGAGTGGTCCTTCAAGATGGAGAACATCTTTGACCACTATGATCTGCTGGAGGTGATGGAAGGAACGGAGAAGCGCCCCGAGAACGACCCGGAGAAGAGCCCGTGGTTGCGGAAGAGCGCACAAGGCTACCTTCTACTTGGGCAAGCGTTGGGGAGCAGCCAAGTCCGTCACATCAAGCCTTTTTAGCGTGAACCAGCAAAGGGACCAAAGGCATGGGCTGCTCTCAAGGGTGTACACGCTCCTGCAACAGCGGCAGTGGCTGTGGTTTAGGAGCGGCAAATGGCGGCACTTCGAATTGACGAAGGCGAACTGGTGGAGGAAGGAGTGCAGAAATTCTTCGACTTGTTGACACGGCTCGAAGGAGCTGACCTGAAATACAGTGACTTCCAAAAGAAGACCAAGCTGATGGCCTTACTTCCAGACTCATGGGTCCTCACTCATCATCAACCTAAATCGAGATCTGCCCTGTCTCTCACTCGAAGATGTGAAGCAGGAAATCTTACAAGAAGATTTCCGCCGTTGCGAAGTGGCGGGTCCGTGGAACAACAACAACGGAGGATATGGCAGCAACAACAATAACAATGGCTACCGGCGTGGGCGCGGTAGATTTGATGGCGAATGTCACTTTTGCCACAAGACCGGCCACATGTGGAGAGATTGCTTCAGATTGCCTAATGGATGGACCCCTTCTCAAGGTCAAGAGGGCAGAGGAGCAAGGGGAGGAAGAGGCAGAGGTCGTGGAGGCCGTGGTGGTCATGGAAGCGAAGCGGCAAGCATGAAAGGTGGAGACTACAAGACGGGCCCGAGTGAAGATCGATACCCGGGCCAATTCTTCTTTGTCTCCACGCAAGCGGCAGCTGCAGCAGGAGGTGTAGAAGGCTTTGAGGAGCCAGCTACTGTGGGAAAGGTCACCCTTCACTCTCAAGACTTTTGGGTGATCGATAGTGGCGCCACCTATAGCATGACACCTCGTGCGGACTTGCTCACCAAGCTCGAACCATCGCCGGTGAAGCATGTTACATCGACATTGGGGCAGCGAGCAGAGGTGAAAGACATGGGCAAGGCCATATTCAAGGGTGCTGATGGGAAGATGGTGGGCGTCAAGAATGTGCTTTGGGTGCCCAGCCTCGCATCCAACCTGATTTCTGTGCGGCGTTTGCAAAAGGCCGCCATGGACATATCTTCCAAGGGATCCAAAACATATACCGCGAGGCTTGGTGAGCGGAAGCTTTGGGACCTTCATGAGGACAGGGACATCTACAATGAGATGTGGCAAATCCTAGTGGTCCCCATGCCTAAGGGGAGGCAATTGGCAGCAAGCGTCAGCACCAAGAGTGAAGCGGTTGGTGGCGGTGATCACGGAAAACAAAGTGACACCAAGAGTGACTTGAAGGAGTGCAACCTTGGAGAGACCAGCAAGGCGTGTGAAACCAAGGAGAGTGGTGCAGCAGCCAAAGGTGGTGGAAATGAGGAGAAGAAGGCTAAGATCAGTAAAGCAGCAGCGGAAAAGGAGAAAGGAGAGAGCTTGTGGGGCACAATTGCGAGTGCCGCTTTCTCCAACCCGACTTCCGCTACGGGAGAGTGTGATTGGCTGACCTTGCATCGGCGAATGAGACATGTGGCATCGTCCATTTTGCAGCAGATAGTTACGCAAGAGATGGTCAGTGGGATACGTATCAAGGGGGAGCCCAATGGGGTGCTTGGCTGTCTAACCTGCATGCAAGCCAAGTTCACCCGCTACCCGTTCCATAGCTCGGAGACAACGGCGAAGGCA